ACATGTGCATCTCCTTCGAGCTGCTGGGGCTCAGCACCTTCGATTTCCTGAAGGATAACAACTACCTGCCTTACCCCATCCACCAAGTACGGCACATGGCCTTCCAGGTGTGCCAGGCTGTGAAGTGTAAGTGTTCCCTGCTGCTCTCCCCTGCTCTGCCCTGACCTGGGGAGCTCAGTCAGTTCCACTTCTGCAACTGGTGGCCCAGAGCAACAAGTATTTGCTGTGGTTCTGAGTCTGAGCCTTCCTGCCCCTCTGGGAATGAATCCTCTTCATTTTCTGATGCTTGTGGGCTGGCAGTAGCTCAGAGCACTCCAGCATCCACCCCCCTGAACCTTCTGGCGATCAATACAATAAATCTTCGTGCTTCTACTGGAGCATCATGACCTGGGCTTTGCCTGGCTGTTCACATCCAGGTTGAAATGTGGGTTAAGCTGGTGCCAGTATGAGCAAACTGTACCAGTGATGGCTTTTTGGAGGGTGCAGCCTTGCTCTGCTTCTCTGCCCTCACCCCTGATTCTCTTTGCTCCCTCAGTTCTGCACGACAATAAACTCACCCACACTGACCTCAAACCAGAGAACATCCTCTTCGTGAACTCTGATTATGAGCTCTCCTACAACCTGGAAAAGGTAACACTGCCTCGACTTGGGTCTCCTCTTGGATTCTTGGTGTCCCTGACTTTGCCAGAGCGGTCAGACACAGCCCCAGGGGATGTGGACTCCCTGCAGTCCTTCAGGGCTTTGCATGATCTGCCAGTGCTGAGTGAGCCATGGTGACCCCAGGAGTAGCTGGCTGGTGGTGGGAGCTTGTTTGGGGCTGAGCTGTGGGGCTGCCAAAGCTTTCCCCTCCCATGGTGTCCTCAGCTATGTAAGGAAGGGGCTGGAGCTCCCAGGTGATGTATCCCATTCTGCCCCCTGCAGAAGCGGGACGAGCGGAGTGTGAAGAGCACGGCCATCAGAGTGGTGGACTTTGGCAGCGCCACATTTGACCACGAGCATCACAGCACCATTGTCTCCACCAGGCACTACCGGGCCCCTGAAGTCATCCTGGGTAGGTGTGCCCCAAGAGGGCACTGGGTGCTGCCCACTTTTATTTTGGTTTGAGTTTTGGGCTTCCACATCATTCAGGAGCTTTCTGGGTTTGCCCTGGGAGATGGGAAGTGCTTTATTGAACAGCTCTGCAGTGCTGTTTCCTGGGAAGGCCATGGTTACAGACCTGTCATTATTCTTGGTTTGTTCCACCTGGAGAAAAGGAGGTTCAAGGGGGAACCCCTCTCATTCTCCACAACTTCCTGATGGGGAGTTGGGCTCTGCTCCCAGGGAGCAAGGGACAGGACAAGAAGAAATGGCCTCAAGTTCTTCCAGGGTTGGACATCAGGAGGAATTTCTTCCTGGAAAGTGTGGTCAGGCATTAGAAGGGGCTGCCCAGGGAGGTTTGGAGTCCCCATTCCTGGGAATGTCCAAGGAATGGCTCGATGTGGCACTCGGTGTCCTGGACTGGGTGTCAAGGTGGGGATTGGTCACAGATTTGAGTTAGTGATCTTGAAGGTCTTTTCCAACCTTGATAATTCCATGGTTGTCAGCTGCTGGTTTGGTATTGCTGCCAGCTGGGCAGTATAGTATATTGCCTGCAGAGCACCAGGAGCCTGGCTGGAATAGGACATGTTTTTTCAGTTATTTATTTTTAAAAGGAAGAGGGATTTGAATTCTTGGCTTGTAACTGGATCATTTATTTAAACAACATTGTTTTTCAGAGCTTGGCTGGAGCCAACCCTGTGATGTGTGGAGTATTGGCTGCATCATCTTTGAGTATTATGTGGGTTTCACCCTTTTCCAGGTGAGAACTGTGTTGTGTGGGTACTTCCCAACTGGGAGATGATGCTGGATTCCCAGCACAGCCCAGAGGCCTGGAACTGATGGGGTCCCTCCATCACTGCAGTGTTTAGAAATACCTGAGGTGTTGGCTAGGAAGGGGTTCGGGGTGGGGGAACACCCAGGGCTGGAGGCAAAACCACTGGAATCTATTCCATGCCTTCCCTTTACATTTCTCCCTCCCAGACACATGACAACCGGGAGCACCTGGCCATGATGGAGAGGATCTTGGGGCCAATTCCTTCTCGGATGGTCCGGAAGACAAGGTGAGCGAGGCCAGCTGGGCAGTGCAGGTTTGCCAACCCTCCTGCTCCAGGGGCAGTGGTTCTACCTGGGGGATCCCACTTTTCCTGCTGAGCCAGCCAGCTGTGTCCCACTGGGGCTGGCACCTTGCTGCTGCTGGAGGGTGTGTTGTGCTCAGGTGTAACCTGTTCCCACTTGTTCCTCTGACAGGAAACAGAAATATTTCTACCACGGCCGCCTGGACTGGGATGAGAACACCTCAGCTGGACGCTATGTCCGGGAGAACTGCAAACCACTGCGGGTAAGGCAGCTTGGCCCCTCCTCAGATTCTCCCTCTGGGCAAGCTTGGGCTAGCGGAAGGCTCAGACCAGTGTGGTTGAGGGGAGCCTTGGCTGTCCCAGGAATAGGAAGCTGCAGCAACCTGAGTTTAATCTGAAGTGGAGGACAGGGAGGGTGTGGAAAGTTCGGGAAGTGCCTGGGGAAGGGAGGGTGCGTGAAAATCTGTCAGTTCTGGGTAGAGGAGCACAGAGTTCAGCTCCAGGCTGAGTGATGGTCTGAACAAACCAGCCTTTCCCCAGCTTAGCCTGTGAGCCCAGGGAACATCCCAGGACAGGGTGTAGCCTCCTTGAACCTCACCTTCCCCCTCCACCTGGCAGCGATACCTGACCTCGGAGGCCGAGGACCATCACCGCCTGTTCGACCTCATCGAGAGCATGCTGGAGTACGAGCCGTCCAAGCGTGTCACCCTGGCCGAGGCCCTCAAGCACCCCTTCTTTGACATGCTGGGCATGGAGCCCAGCACAAAAATGTGGGACTCGAGCCGGGACATCAGCCGGTGACGCCACAGGTGCCAGCCAGCCCTCGGATTCTAGCCCCCGTGGAGGCCTGTGTGATTTCTATTCAGACACTTGGTGCTTTTTTTTTTTTATACATGAGATGAACTTCCTGGACACATTTGTAAAGCTGTTAATATGTGAGATACTGTAAATAGCCCAGATTCTCTGTCGGCCTCGGAGCACCACGGGCCTGACCTGCTGTCGCTGCTGCCGTTCTCGTGAGGTGAGGGGGCCTGTGTGTCCGTGCTGTAAATACCTCTCGTGTTGCTTTGTCTCCCGTTCCTGCCCTCCTCAGTGTAAATACTCCAGGACTTGCAGCTCTCTGTAGCTTATCTGTTTCCTTGTAAGTTATGGAACTGGTGGGACTGCATGGGAATTATTTTTTGGATCAATGTCATAGCCCATCCCCACACCAGAGTTTTATAAGAATTTTGTACAGTCTTTGTGAAAAATAAAGATGAAGTGAATAAAGCACCTCATCTGGGTTTGGCCCAACAGCAGCTGCCTGGGGTTGTTCTACTGTGCCCCGTGGGGGGAAGGAGAGGGATGAAAGGAACTTTGTGGTCCAGCTCTATCCACCTGCACCATTCCTCCCAAGCCTACACTGAGTAGGAGCTGCTTTTGCCTGACAGGGCTGCAGCAGGACCTGAGTAGATGCTGGTGTGGGGGGCAGAAAACCATGGACTGGCCCTTTCTTTGTGCCCTGGGTCCAGTGTTGGTGTGGGAGGCAGGGAAAGGACTGGTTTCTCTTCCCTGGAGAAACCTCTCAGCCTTGGGGGGAGCACTGGCTGCTGGTGGTGGCTGTTGGGCTGTCAGGAGCCCACATCCAGCTGTCCTGTATCTGCCCCAGGGCTGTCTTGTGTCTTCTTGGCTCTTCCCAGCTCTGCATGGAGGCTGGGCCTTGCTTTGGGCTGGTCCCTGGGCAGTTGGGGCTGTGTCACAGCTGATGGCAGGGGGAGAGTGTCACTAGGGTGTGGGTGACAGATGTGCTCTGCTTAACGCTCTGTTGTGGCACTGTCAGGCTCTGCCAGGGTGTCCTGGCCCTGGCAGGCTGTCACCATGCAGGGGGGGAAGGAAATGTCTGGTTTCACCTGGAGTGGGTGTGGGGAGTCTCGGGCAGGGTGATACTGAGGGCTCTCCATGGGCTTGTGATCCCAACTCACCGAGCTTGGGCTGGGAGCCCTCACTTGCCTCCTGAGGCTGCAGGGGCAAATCCTGCCCAGTGCCCGTGTGCCCAGCCCTGCACTGAGGCTGGAGGAGAATTAAATTGACTGTGGTCTGCCTTAGACTTCAAGAAAATACCAAATTCACGCTGGTGTCCAAAACCCAAATCCACGGCTTGTACCTCTGCCAGGAGCAGCTCCAGGTTTGGGCTGAGGTGGGAGCTCACCTGTGGGGTTCACGTGTCACTCCAAGTCTGTTCAGAGTATTTTCAGTCTGCCGAGCACTGGGAGCTGGGAGGGGACAGGGTGCATGTCCTGCTCCCGGGGTGCTGAGGAATCCCTGTTCGGGAGAGGGTCACTGTGCAGTCCAGGGGCAGCTGGACTGGATGGATTTGGAGATTCCTATAAATAACTGGTCCAGGAGACACAAGAGAAATTCCCCAAGTGCTCGTCGTGCCGCGAGTCCCTCGCTGGCTGTCGGGCCGGCTCGGTGACAGCTGCTGGAGTGGCCCCCGGGATAACGCCTGGGGGCGGGCGAACGGCACCGGGCCGCCCGGTAAGAGCAGGGAGCCTCTCGGGGGGACACGCAGGAGGAGCCGCTGAACCGGAGGCTCGGAGCCACGGAACCGGGGGGCGGTGGAGCCCCGTTCCGGCCGCCGCTGTCGGGGGAACCCGAACGGGAATTGGGGGGGGGGAGGGGAGATGGATGCGCCGCACGTGACCGCCGGGACACGTGGCCGCGTCACGTGCGCGCCCCACCCGGCGCGGCCCCGGCGCGTGCGCAGCGGCCCCCTGCAGCGGGGTCTCCCCGATGACGTCAGGCGCAGCAGGACCAATCAGCGGCGGGGAGGGGCGGGGCCTGGCGGCGGCGGCGGCGGCGGCGGCGCGGATCCCGTAGGTCCAGCGCGCTCCCGGTCCCGGTCCGGCCATGGCCCAACGCGGCGGCCCCGCGGTGCTCCCGGACAACCCCTTCCAGGACCCCACGGCGCTGCAGGCCCGGTCCGGCGCTGTGCTGGATGGCTACAACCCCTTCGAGAGCGACGCGGTGAGCGGCGGGGCCTGCCCGGAGACCGGGGCCTGCCCGTGCACCGGAGCTTCTTCCCGGGCACCGGAGCCCTCCCCGCTGCCGGCGCAGTCTCACCTCTCTCCTCTTCCCCTGCAGCCACCGCCGCCGTTCCAGACCCCTTCGGTAGCGCCGCCGCCCCCGGTACCGGCGGCCGCGCAGCCCCCGCGGAAGGCGAGTCCCACCGAGCCCCGCAACTACGGCTCCTACGGCTCGCAGGTACGGGGGGAGGCACCGCCAGGCCGGGCGGGCCGGGGGGACACGGGCGCCGGCGGGAGCCCAGGGTTTGTGTCCCCCGCTCCGCAGGCCTCGGCCGCCGCCGCCACGGCGGAGCTGCTGAAGCGGCAGGAGGAGCTCAACCGGAAAGCGGAGGAGCTGGACCGGCGGGAGCGGGAGCTGCAGAACGCGGCCCTCGGCGGTTCCCAGAGTGAGTGGCTGCGGGGCTGGGGAGGGACTGGGGAGGGACCCATCCTCGCTCCTCCTCACCCGGTTCTGTCCACAGCGAGGCTCAACAACTGGCCCCCGCTGCCGTCCTTCTGCCCGGTGAAGCCCTGCTTCTACCAGGACATCCCCGTGGAGATCCCTGCTGACTTCCAGAAGACAGTCACGACCATGTACTACCTCTGGATGGGTGAGTCTCCACGGGAACCTCGGGGCAGACCCTGGGAGGAGGTGGAAGGATGAATGTGCTGCTGCTCTGGGGAAATTGGGATGAACAGGTGGTTGTGGGGGTTGGGGGAGCCTGGCTCTGGCTCCTGAGCGCTGTCCTCTCCCTCAGCCAGCACCATTGCTCTCTTCCTGAACTTCCTGTCCTCGCTCGCCTGGTTCTGCGTGGACCCCTCGTCTGGTTCTGGGTTTGGCCTCTCCATCCTCTGGGCTCTGCTCTACACACCCTGTTCCTTCGTCTGCTGGTATCGGCCCATGTACAAAGCTTTCAGGTGTGTCCCTGCACCGTGTGTGCCCTGCTCCAGCTCCTGGGGGCTCTGTGGGATGTGGTGGTTCCACCCCGAGCTCCCTGTTCCCCCCATGTCTCCTGCTTTAAGGAAGGTTTGAGAGCTTTCTTCTGTGGCCTAACTTCGCCCATCTCTTCCTCCCAGGAGCGACAGTTCCTTCAACTTCTTTGTCTTCTTCTTCGTCTTCTTTGCCCAGAACGTGATGTACGTGCTGCAGGCCATTGGCATCCCAAACTGGGGATTCAGGTGCGCCGTGTGCTGACCCTGGAAAGGCAAGAGGTGGGTGGGGGAGAGGGAACCTGGGGACAACAGCCTCTTGTTTTGCAGTGGCTGGATCCTGAGCCTGATAGCACTGCGGACTAACACAGCCGTGGCTGTGATGATGATCCTGGTGTCCTTGTCCTTCACGGGAGTGGCTGTGTTGGGGATCATTATGCTGAAAAAGGTGGGTTAGGATCAAAGCCTTTGGCTCCCTTTGGGGGAGGTTTGGGCTGTAAACCTCCTTTTACGAGGGCCCTGGAGCCCCAGCCCTGACCCCAGCCCGCTCCTGTCCTCCAGATCCACTCTCTGTACCGCCGGACGGGCGCCAGCTTCCAGAAGGCTCAGGAGGAGTTTGCGGCCGGGGTCTTCTCTAACCAGGCCGTGCGCACGGCCGCGGCCAACGCCGCTGCGGGCGCGGCCACCAACGCCTTCCGCGCGCCGTAGCCGTGCCCGGCCCTGCCTCCCTGGCGCACGCGGGCTCTTCCCGAGGAAGAGGAAATCCGAGTTGCACTTTCACTGGATCCCTGTGCGTCTGCATCAGCTGTCAGAGGCTGCCTCATCCCAGCTTGGAAGTGCTGGTGCCTGAATCGTCTGCTGCTCTTAACCCCCTTTCCTCACGGACAGAGGCTGTTCTGGTTTGTGCTGGTCCCCTCCCCTCAGCAGACTGGGGGAGCAGGGTGGGAAGTGCTGCGGCCGAGCCCTGAGCTTGCCATCACCCTCCCTTCCAGCACCAGCTGTTGGGGGCAGGAGCCTCCTCCAGATGGCTGGAATGCTGCTTCCAGGGACTGGAACGGTCACTTGCCTTCCTTGTGCTCTCCTGTTTCCCCACCTGGTGATGACACATGTGTGCCCTGGGGTGTGGAGGGTCCCCTGTGTGCCCAGGGACCCCCATGCTCTGCTAAGAACATCATCCCCCTCCCCGTCCTGGGGCTTGCTCTAGTGGGATGAGGATGGGGCTGATGCTTTCCCCAGGGTGTGTTGTCCTTTTGTCCTGTCCCTTTCCCCATCCTCTCCCTCTCTCCAGGACCAGGGATGAGGAGACCAGGGCAGGGACAGGCAGAGCTCGGGCAGCTGCTGCCTGTGGGGATCCTGCCTTTAGCCCATGTGGACCCCAAAGCCAGGCTGGGTGCTGAGGAGCAGCCCTGGTGTTCACATGGCTCCCCCTCGCCTCCAGGGAGAGGTGAACAGCTCCTCCAGTCCCCCTCCCCACCCGCTTCAAGGACTGTGACCCCTTGCTCCCCCCAGGACCCTTCAGCCAGGGCCTTCACCCTCCTCAGTGGGGGCGAATCCCTGCGTGCAGCCCCGTGTCCCCCTTACCTGCGCTCTGTCCCCTGTCCCGGTATCCCTGGGGATCCCCAGGACAGGTTTCATGCATTCTGCTTCACTCCATCTCCTCTCGGATGCTCCCGGTTTGTCCCTGCAGCTCCGGGGCTGGCGAGAGGCTTTGTGCCTTCAGCTGTGGGGGCCGGTGCCCTCCCCGTCCTGCTGCGGCGTGGGCTCCTCTGGGGGTCCGTGCCTCCTCCGCTGCTCCCCGTGTGCTGTTCCCCGACCGCCTCCCGGTTTATTTAAGGAATAAATGAAGGTTCACTCTGTTCTTTCGCCATCTCCGTGCGCCGACCAGGGCTGGGGGGGAGCGGCGGGGCCGGTAGCGGTGTCGCAGCTCCCGGGGATGGTGTGGGTGGACTACAGCTCCCGTCGTGCCGCACAGGGGCGGCCCCGGGGCGGGCGCGGCCAAGAAGCCGCCGGCGTGTGGTACCTTCCCCGCATCTCCCGGCGCTTCGCCTCCAGCCGCGGCCCCGGGCATCCCGGAGGGCGCGGCGGCGGCGATGCTCGCTCGCAGCCTTCCGCCGACCCGGCTTCCCCGAGCGGCGCCGGGGCTGTGGGGCGCGGGGCGGACCGACCGCCGGTAGCCGCCCGCCCCTAGCGGTACCGGCCCGGTAGCGGGACCCGGCTCTGCGCCCACCGCCCGCGGAGGATGCTCCGGTCCGGACCGCGGCTCCCGCCTGCTGGCGCTGCCCCGGGGGCCGCGTCCCGGGCGGCGGCTCTCGGACCCCGCGGGGCGGGATGATCTCCCGGCGGGAGCCCGGCGCTCCACCGACGGCCAGGGAGGAGGCGGCGGTACCGGGGCCGCGCTCCGTCTCCAGCCGGCGGCTCTAGGCCGGCCCCAGCCCGGGTGCGCAGGGACGGGCGAGGCCGGTTCTGTTCTACGCGGAGCTTCTGGCGGCCCTGGCTCCTCGTGGCCGTGGGCGCTGCCCGAGCCCCCCCGCCCGGGGCAGTGAAGAGCCACCGTCAGCATCCTCCGGCAGGCCGAAAGGTGGAGCCCGGCCCGTTCCCGCAGAGCGGCTGCTCCCGCTCCCCGCGGTCCTGGCGCGGTGCCGCCGGCTGCCCCGGGGCTCCGGGGCCGGTCCCGAGCCGCCGTCCGCCGCGGCCATGCCCTCCCCCACCGACTCCAGCCGCTCGCTGACCGGCCGCAGCTCCCGCAGCCTCACCCATCTCCGCCTCCAGCGCACCTGGCTGCAGGCCCTGCTGGTCCTGGGTCTCGTGCAAGCCATCCTGGGCGTCCTCATCGTCACCTTCAGCCTGGTGGCGGCCACCATCACTCCCTCCACTAAAATCCGTCAGTCCTGCCCGTCCTGGGCCGGCTTCTCGGTGAGTGCGGGGCCGGGGCGGCGCGGGGAGGGGGCTCCTCGGGGGCCGAGCTTGCCGCCGGTCCCTGGGGAGGGCAGCCCCGCTGCTCCCCCCACCCTCGGCCCGTGGCTGCCGCGGTGCATTGTGGGAAAATCCCAAGGGCTCCCCCAGGGTGACTGTGAGGGATGGGGACCCCCGAGCAGTGCAGGGAACTGCCCGGGATATGCAGCCAAGGGCAGGGAGGGGTGTGGGGGCACCACAGTGATGACAGGGTGGTGACGGGGGCTTCTGCTCTGTCTGCTGCCTATCGGGGTGAGGGCAGCACCTGGGGTCCCCCATGGTGACCCTGCAGCACGGATCCTGGCCTGGGTTTGCTGTCCAGCCAGAGCAGCCCGCAGTCCCCAGGCCCTGAATCAGCAGTTTCTCTCGTCTTGTGGCGCCAGGGCTGCTCCTACAGCCCCGCTGCTCCTGGGCTGGCTCCAGGCCTGTGGGAATTGGGGGGGCTCTGTCTGTGGGCAGGGGCTGCTCGGGGCCCCATTGCCTAACAGTGCCTTCTCCCTGTGCTCACCCCGGGGCTTGGGAATCTGCAGCTGGCACTGTCCGGGCTCGTCGGCATCATCTCCTGGAAGCGGCCGCTCACCCTGGTGGTAGGTGTTGGGGGGGACACCCTTCCACAGGCGGGGGAGCCCAGGATGGGGAGGCCGAGCAGCCCCCGCTCGTGCCCTCGGGTGCGCAGCAGCGTGTGCCGGCTCCCTGCTCCGCGGCCCTGTGCAGCCGGCAGCCCCTCTCCTCCCACTGCAGATCGCCTTCTTCACGCTGCTGTCGGTGCTGGGCGTCATGCTGAGCCTCGCCGGCTCCATCCTGTCGTGCCAGAACGCGCAGCTGGTGAAGACCCTGGAGGCCTGCGAGAGGGTGAGGCTGGGCAGGGGCAGCCCCAGCGACCCCCGGACCTCCGAGCACGGCTCGTCCCTGGCTGTGGGGCTCTGGGGACAGGGGGAGCTGCAGAGCTGGCGTCTGGTGGGGGGATGTGCTGGTGGCTCTCAGGGGATAGCACGGCATCCAGAGCTTCCTCACGGTGTTTCTCGTCCCCAGGAGAGGGACACGTGTGTCTGCTGCCAGGCCCGCTCGGAGCCCCCACCCGCCTCCTGCAGCCAGCAGAGCGAGATGCTGACCATGTTCCCCAACCCCAACTGCCGGAGCATCCGTGTGGCACTCAAGGTGGAGGAGCAGGGGGATGCGAGGGCTCCCTGGGAAGCGGCCGCACACCCGGCCACGCTCTGCAGGCTCTGCAGCTCACCCCACTGCTCCCCAGGATCTCCTCTTCAGTGTCTGTGGCTTGACCATCTTCTCCACCATCATCTGCACACTCTCTGCTGTCGTGTGCTGCATCCAGATCTTCTCCCTTGACATCGTCCATGTGGTGAGTCCCAGCTCTGGCCCGAGGAGCAGACAGGGCTGGGGAGCAGCGTTCCCAGGCTGTGCTGGTCCCGGGGGTGCCAGGGCAGGACCTGGCCCCAGCTGGGCGCAGTTAAAGCCCAGGATGCACATCCCTTGCTGGATCTGCGGGCAGGAGGTCTCAGCTCTCCCCTCTCCCTGCAGCTGGTCCCACAACGCTCGAGCTCTGTGACATTGGAATGCACATCCCCACCCGACACCTTTCTGCAGAGCATGATGGACTTCGAGGAATTTGTTCCCCCGGTGCCACCGCCCCCCTACTACCCACCTGAGTACACCTGCAGCTCTGAGACGGATGCACAGAGGTACCAGCTGTGAGCAAGGCTGGTAGGGTGGGGGGCCCGTGTGCCCCCAGCTTGGGCTTGTCCCACCCAGTGTGGCTTTTCTGCTCTTGCCTCTGCAGCATCACCTACAACGGCTCCATGGACAGCCCCGTGCCCCTCTACCCAACCGACTTCCCCCCATCGTACGAGACTGTGATGGGGCTGCGGGGAGACAGCCAGGTGGGAGCCGTGGGCAGGTCAGGGCAGGGTGGATTCCTGCTCAGCTGAGCCCTGATCGTGCTGTCCCACAGGCCACCCTGTTCGACTCGCAGCTGACAGAGGGCTCCCACGCCTGCACCTGCGACTGCGACCGCGTCCCCTCCATCGTGCTCAGCGGAGAAGGTGAGCGCTCCCCCAGCCACAGGGGATGGGAGTGGGGCCATAGCAGATCCATCTCTTCAGCTGTGCCCGTCTGCTCCTTGCAGTATCCATGGACAGCGGGTCCCTGATCATGTCTGAGATCATGGACATCCCCGGGGACAGCAGCCCCTCGGAGGACTCGTGCCTGCTGGAGCTGCAGGGCTCCATGCGCTCCGTGGACTTCGTCCTGTTCCGCTCCATCCAGCGCAGCCGCGCCGATTACTGCCTGAGCGTGGACTGCGTGCGGTGCAGCCACCACGCGCGCAGCCCCACGCTGGCCTTGCAGGGCCCCTTCGAGGAGACTCCCCAGCCCCGCGTGCGGGGCGAGCGATCCTATTCCTGCTCCACCGCCGAGCCCGGCCACGACGGCATCTTGGTGCGGGGAGCCGTCACGCACAGCTGCAACCGGCTGGCGGGGCCGGGCCGCTGCGCCGGGCCCTGCTTCCCCGAGGTGCGGCTCAAGGACAAGGGCTCCTCGCTGCAGGGGCGTGGGAGCGGCCGCCCCACGGACACCGGCCCCGGCCGCCCCCGGCGCAACAGCGAGACCTCCTGCCCATCGTCCCCGGCCCCGGGGCTGGCCCCGCGCCCGCTCCTGAGGTCACACAGTGACCCCGGTGTCCCCATGGCCGGCCGTGCCGGTAGGTGACAGCGACCGGCGGGACGGGGTGGGCGCGTGGCAGGGTCTGTGCGGTGCAGCCGGGATGTGCCGCAGGGTTTGGATGTTTTTCTGTGGCCAGATGGGATTAGAGCCAGTCTGGGAAGGAATGGGGGGAGCAGGGGAGGTCTGCTGGCCTGGGGGGCTGGAGGGTTGGGCTGCCTGGGGTCTGCACATCTGCTGAGGCCTGAGGGCTCTCTCTGCTCCCAGCAGATTTCAGAGAAGTACTTTATACCAAAGCACTGGAGGGCACCGTATCCGACTCCTCCGCTGATACAGGTCAGGGCACTGTGATCTACTGGGATAGAAAGGGGACATGGGGAGGGTCTGTAGCCCTCTGGGGATTGAGCTCACCCTGCTTGGGCTGGGACATCGGGGACCAGCGGTGGGACTGCTCCTGCTTGACTGGGGATGGGAGACAGCAGCACCCCAGGCCTGTGAGGGTAGATCTGCTGGGAGCAGCGTCCTAGGGTCTGACAGTGGGGACAGGTCCATCAGAGCAGTGGCCTGGGTGTGTTGAAGCAGTGTCCTAGGTCTGATGGTGGGGATGGATCCATCAGAGCAGTGTCCCATGTCTGTCAGAGCAGTGTCCTGGGTCTGATGATGAGGACAGGTCCATCAGAGCAGGGTCCCATGTCTGTCAGAGCTGTGTCCCAGGTCTGAGGGCAGGGATGGATCTGTCAGAGCAGTGTCCCGTGTCTGTCAGAGCAGTGTCCTGTCTGACAGCGCTCACTCTGCAGGGCTGTGCTCTGAGGCCTGCCTGCTCCACCGTTCCCACTGTGACTCCCCACCGCTGCTCCGGGCTGGCTCGGTGGGGAAGAACAAGCTGCCACCCTGCAAGAAGGTGCCACAGCAGCTGTCAAAGACAACCACCCGCTCCCTGGGGGACCTCAAGGGCTACCGGGGCACCCGGGGGCTGGTGGCCAGGTTCCTGCAGAGACCCAAGCGCAGCCTGGCAGCTGGCATGGAGGTGTCTGGGCACAAACAGGTGGGTTCTGGAAGCCACAGTGGATGGGCAACACCTCCTCCCCATAGAACTTCTCTCTACACTTTCCCTTCTGTCCCCATCAGCACCTCCACCCTGGCCTTTCCATGGTTTCCATTCCCCTGCCACACCCACCCCCATTGCGTTGGCACCCTGGCTGCAGGCAGAGCGTTCTTCCTGAAACACTGTCCTTGCCCAGCCCTTCCTGGGGGGCAGCTCCTTTTCCTTGATCCCCACTGGAGCCACGGGTGGGAAAATCATGCCTGTTGCAACAGCTTTGGCTTTGCCCCTGAGTCACTGCACCCGGAGGTAGATGCTGGGACATCCCGGTGACTCAGCTTTTCGGGATGCTGGAGTCCTTGCGCAGCCCAGGAGGCCTTGACGGGAACGAGCCTGTCCCAAATGCCAGCGTGGGCGCATGATGCACGCCTCTGCCATCCCTGGCACCTCTGCCCTCCTGCCCCGTGTGCCACCTGTGGCTGCACTGGAGCGTGGAGGGTTGAGCGCAGGGGGCTGAGTGCAGGAGGGTGCCCTGGGCAGGGCTGCCATCCCTGTGGCTGCAGCCTATCCCCGTGGGTTGCAGGTTCCCTGGAGTGCCTGGCCGGGGGCAGAGCGGCCCCACGAAGGAATCCACCTGCAGAGCTGCGGGGACCTGAGCTCCACCTCGTCCCTGCGCCGGCTCCTGTCCACGCGCCGGCTGGAGCGCAGCCGCCCCCGGAGCCTCAGCGGGGCCTGCAAGGAGAGCGCGCTCTGAGGGCACAGCCTCACCTGCAGGGACCCTGCCGTGCTCCGGTGTGGAGAGGGCTCTGGGCTCAGCCCTGGACATTGCTCGGACATTGCTGCTGCCCTGGTGGGGCTGGGCCCTGCGCTGCTGCCCCAGGGACTTAGCTGGGCCCCTTCCCCAAGCGGGGCTGGAGTGAGGGACCCCTGGGGTGTCTGCTGGGGATGGCAGTGCCTGTCCCCTGTCTGTCTGGGATGGTTATGCCTGTTCCTCGCCCTATCCCTTGTTCTGGACACGCCTGTCCCTTGCCCTGTCCCTTGTGCCAGCTGTGCCTATTCCCTGGGATGGCCACGCCTGTCCCCTGCCCTGTCCCATGTTCTGGCTGTGCCTGACCCACACACTGGCCATACCCTGTCCTCTGTGCCAGCTGTGCCTGTACCCTGGCATGGCCGTTTCTGTCCCCTGTGCCGGCTGTGCCTGTGCCCCGGGGCAGTCATGCGTGTCCCCTGCCCTGGCCATGCTGCCCTTTGCCCTGTCCCTTTGGCTGGCTGTGCTGGCTTGATCCCCGGTCCCTTGTGCCAGCCGTGCCTGTCCCCTGCCCTGTCCCCTCCACTGGCCGTGCCTGCCTTCTGCCTTGTTCTTTTGGCTGGCTATGCTGGCTTGATCCTCGGTCCCCTGTCCTGTGCCAGCGTGCCCGGAACTGCCGTGCCTGTCCCTTGCCCTGTCCCCCCGAGCTGGCTATGCCTGTCTCCTCTCCAGCCCCTCCGCCCCGTCCGGTCCCGGTGTCGGTGCCGGTGCCCCGCGCTGGCCGTGCCCGTTCCTCCCCGCCCGGCTGCGCCCGGGCCGCGCTGCGGGGCCGGTCCCGCGGCCACTGCCCCTCGCTAGAGACCGAATAAAGGTGGTCGCCGCCGCCCTCGGGGCCGGTGTCACGGGGCGGAGCAGGGCGGGGCGGGCGGTCAGCTGATCGGTCACGGGGTGCCGGCTCCCGGTTTGCCGGTGGCGGCTCCGCGGGCCGGAGCGGCCGGTGCCGTCGGGGCGTGGGGAGGCAGCGGGGACCGGGGCCGGGACCGGGCCTGCGCCTCTCGGGGCGGCGGGGGGAAGCGACCCCGCAGCCGCGCGGTTCCCCCGGTTGGCGGTCCCGGAAGCGGCGCGGGGGAAGGTTCGGGGCCAGGCCCGCCCAGAGTCGGTGCCGCTCCTGCACCGGGTGTGGGCGGGACGGGCTGTCCGGGCGCCCTTAAAGGCGAGGCCGGCGGTGGAGTCGGTGCTGCCGGGAGCGCAGCGGGAGCGGCGGGGCCATGGGGGCCGCCCTGTGCTGGCGGCTGCTGCTGGTGCTGCTGGCCGGGCACCGGGCCGCAGGTGAGCGGGGGACCCGGGGCTGCGCGGGGATGGAGGGCACCGCGGTCCCCGGGCATCCTGGGACGCCCGACGGACCGGAATGGGAGGGGAGGGAATCCCTTGGGAGTCCGTGGTCGGGATTCCCGGGAGTTGCCTGCGGGTCCGGGGGCAGAGGAGAGCTCGCTGCTCCGGAGGTGCCGGGGTGTGGAGCACGGGGCAGTGGCATCACCCCCGGGGCAGGCGGGAGAGCTGGCGGGGACACCTCCCTGAGGCTGCCCCCAGTGCCCTCCCGTGCCCCCCAGGCGCCCGGCCCTGCAATCCCAAGTACTTTGGGCGTGATGCCATGGTCTGCGTCTGCAATGCCACGTACTGTGACACTCTGGATCCCCTGGCCCTGCCGGACCCCGGCTCCTATGTCAAGTATGAGAGCAGCAAGGCCGGCAAGCGGCTGGAGCGGAGCGAGGGGAGGTTCCAGCGCAGACTCTGCGCCCCAGGTACTGCCACGGATGGCAGGGATGGGATGGACCCTGCTGCAACCCACCGTCATGCTGGGCTCCCCTCCCTGCAGATGTCGTCCTCACCCTGGACACGACGCAGCGGTTCCAGAGGGTGAAGGGTTTTGGTGGCTCCATCACGGACGCGGCCGCCATCAACATCTTATCCCTGCCAGAAAGAGCACAGGATCACCTGCTGCGCTCGTACTTCTCTGAGGAGGGTAGGGTGTCAGGGAGACAGGTGGGATGGTGACAGGGACTGTGGGTGCTGGCATGTCTTGGACACCTCATGTCCCACTGTGCCTGGCAGGGCTGGAGTACAACCTCATCCGCCTGCCCATGGCCAGCTGCGACTTCTCCCTCCACGCCTACACCTACGATGATGTCCCCTACGATTACGAGCTCACCCACTTCAGCCTGCGAGATGAGGACACGAAGCTGAAGGCGAGCGGTGGGAGGGAGCAGGGTGGGCTGGAGGGTCACAGGGGCTGACCTGAGTCAGCCCCTCCACCTCCTCCTGCAGATCCCCCTCCTTCACCGAGCCTCGGCCATGAGCAAGCGGCCGCTGTCACTGTATGCCAGCCCCTGGACCTCCCCCACCTGGCTGAAGACCAGCGAGTCCTATGTGGGGAAGGGGACACTGAAGGGGCAGGCAGGGGACAGGTACCACAAGACCTGGGCCAACTACTTTGTACGGTGAGGAGCGGCTGGGGCCGGGGCGATACCTGGGGAGCTCTCAGTGGTGGCACTGGGGACTCCTCACCCCTTCCCCCCACACCAGGTTCCTAGATGAATATGCCAAGCACAACGTGACATTCTGGGCAGTGACAGCAGAGAACGAGCCCACGGCTGGGCTGATCAACAATTACCCCTTCCAGTGCCTGGGCTTCACAGCCGAGCAGCAGCGGGACTTCATCGCTCGGGACCTGGGCCCGGCGCTGGCCAACAGCTCCCACCGCCACGTCCAGCTCATCATCCTGGACGACAACCGGCTCCACCTCCCTCACTGGGCCAGAGTGGTGAGTGTGGGCATGGATGTGCCATCATGGTGACCTGTGGGACACCCTGTTGGGTGCTGGGTCTCTGTTTCTGCCCTGTGGGACTGACTCTTCTCCCTGACAGGTCCTGGAGGATGAGGGGGCAGCTCGCTACGTCCACGGCATCGGCATCCACTGGTACCTGGACTTCATCGGTCCCATACAGGACACAGTGTTGCCCACTCATGAGCTCTTCCCTGACTACTTTATCCTGGCCACGGAGGCGTGCATTGGTGCCCATTTCTGGGAGCGGGATGTGATCCTGGGCTGCTGGGAGCGGGGAAACCAGTACAGCCACAGCATCCTGATGGTGAGGCCCCTCTGTCTCCCTGTGCGCTGGGCCCTGGGGAGGGTTGTTGGTGTTGGGCAGGCATCTGAGCTGTCGTGTTGCAGAATCTGAACCACTTTGTGGCCGGCTGGACTGACTGGAATCTGGCCCTGGATCTGGAGGGGGGCCCCAACTGGGTCAAGAACTACGTGGACAGCCCCATCATTGTGGACAGCAGCGAAGGCATCTTCTACAAGCAGCCCATGTTCTACCACATGGGGCACTTCAGGTGGGTTGGAGCCCACAACGTGTGCTCCAGCAACAGCTCCTGAGAGGCACAAGGCAAATTTGGCTTGAGAGGAGCTCTCCAGGGGTCTGATTCCTACCCTGAGGTTGCTGCTCATTTGTCTGTTCAGCAAATTCATCCCCGAGGGCTCCCAGCGTGTGGGGCTCGTCGCCTCCAGGGAGTCCAAGAAAACAGCGCTGGAGTACGCGGCTTTCCTGCGCCCTGACGGGGCTGTGGTCGTGGTGCTTCTGAACCGGTGGGTGATGCAGCCCGGCCCCCCTGTGTGTGACCCCATCCCCCTGGGCCCTGTGCAGCTGCTGCAGGTCTGACCGCCCTGCTCTCCCCACAGATCCCCACAGGACATCGCCTTGGGGCTGGCGGACACCGTCGGCCTCATCGCGGCCGTGGCTCCGGCCAACTCCATCCAGACCTACCTGTGGCGGCGGCAGTGACGGGGCCAGGATGGCCATGGCTGGCCAGGGGCCGGACGCAGCCGGGCCGGACGCTCAGGCCCGCGGGCTCGGGCCGGGGGAAGCGGCTCCCCGGGGCCGCGGCGGAGCCGGAGCGGGCTGGGCCGGGCCGGGAACGCCGTGCGTGTGCAGGAGGGTCGGGGGCACCGGTGCCCCTCAGGGTGGAGGCCGCACAGGCTGTGAATGCTGCGTTCTGCTGTTCTGACATTAAACACGGATGCTGCCTTGATGTCTGCGGCTGGAAGAGGAACGTCTGGGTCCCTCCCCTGCTCCTGGGCACTGTGGCTGGGTGCCACCCCGGCATGGAGCCTGCTGGAGTCTGGCGAGCAGCGCAGAGCAGCCGGAGCATCGTGGGGCAGCCCCTCTCCCTGCCCACCGCCTGCCCTTCTGCCCCCTCAGCTCCCCGTGGGGCTCACCCTGCTGAGAGATGCTCCAGGCAGAGTCTGCTCCCCGTTCCAGGCACGCACTCCTGGCTGGGGCAGGGCAGAGCCCGGCTGCGCTCCTGATGCGTTTCGGGACGGGTTTTAGGACCTAGCAAGTGGCTCGGGATTCGCCCTGAGTGCAGCGTCAGGAGCAGGGACAAAGCCCTTGGACAGCCAGCTCTGGCTGAGGTCAGGGCAGTGCCGGCTGCTCCTGTGGCTTTTCTGGGACAGGGAGGCTGGCCAGGCTGGAGGAGCCATGCCTGGAGCCAGCTGGTCCCCGTGGGGTCTGAGCCGAGGGGTCCCCACTGTGGTGGGGAGGGTGGGAGTGCACCCACCACACATCTGGGGTGGCTTGAGCAAGCGGGGACAGGAGCGGGAGTGGGTGCTGAGTGTGGGCGCACCCAGGAAGGAGGGAAGGAGCTGGCAGGGTGTGAGAGCAGGAGATTAGGGCAGGGAGGTCATAATTTCAGGGCGAGGAGGGTGGCACGGCCCCTGGGCTGATGTGTGCAGGCGGGATGTGCCCAGGGGTGCTGTCAGGACTGACAGCCCCAATGCTGCGTGGGCTGAGCACAGCCCAGGCGTGGTCAGTGAGTGACAGTGTCACCCTGGGACACTGGCACGCCACGGAGCCACAGGGATGCTGCTCTTGGAACCCCGCAGCTCCCGAGAGTCCTGGGGAGAACACCCTGCTCCTGCCCGGAGGCTGTTTGTGTTTGTCCACAAGAGGGAAATGTTTCTCCAGGATCATAACTTCAGCGAGTCCCATCCCCATCACCCCACTGCCATCACCCTGCTGCCAGCATCCCACTCTGGGTGCAGGGCTGCTCCCCCACCTGTTTCCTACTTACCTGCCCTGGTGCTAGCAGCTGGTGGCCGATGCTGAATCACTCTGGTCCACGTGCCCTGGTCCCTGCGCTCGGCTCCGTGCTGAAGGACCGACTGGCTCTGGGATAAACGTAGCGGGGGCGAATCCTCCGACGTCGCTGGGCTTGGTTCTGCTCATTAATTCTTGTGCAAAGCCTTGGCTTGTTTGGGGCTCACAGTGACTGGGGACCTGCAGCAGCTGGCTTGGAACCAGTGATCACCCTGAGGACTGTCCCCACGTGCTCAGGGCTGGGGTCCTGCTGCTGGGAAGGAGTTGCTGTGATGCCACACCGAGGCTCTTTGGCATAGATGTTTACAGAGTTGTGATCCCTAGAAAGGTGACTCAGCCCAGCTCCATGTCCCTGGTTCCCATCTTCACTCTCCTGGCTCAGGGAAAAAATTCACACCCTGGCTCCTCTGATGGCTCCTTTGACCCCACATCCTTGACCCCATCCTGGAACAAACCCACCCGTGCACTGCAAAGGGTGATCACACCATGCCACGAGGCCCCTGAGACCCCCAGGAGCTCTCTGTATTTGGAGATTGGCCACAAGAAACGGCTTTGGGGGCTTGGTGGGGCTGCCTGGTATCTGTGTGCCAGCAGCTCCATGCGGGGTGTTGCCTGGCCCCTGGGTCTCACTTTTCCTGCTCAGCAGGACACTCTTATCAGCTGGTGTTGATAAGGATGAGCTCCAGCAGCCTCCGCAGTGTTTTGCTTCCAGGAGCTGTGGGACCTGAGCCAACTGGGGGGGCTGTGGCTGATGGGGGCCAGGAAAGACTGGACTTTGGAATGGGAAAGGGTGAACGGGGGCATCCTGGATGGCTGGAAGTGAGCTTGGAGGTGGCTGATTGCCTTAGGAGCTATTAATCCCTCCCCAAAATTGGGGCTCATTAGCCTGGGTGTAGCAGTCTGATCACACCTTAATCACACTTGGAGGTGGGAGATGCACAGCGCAGCGGGACAGGGACAGGAGCTCCCTCCTGGGCCACCTGTTTGCCCCGTGAGATGTAACCAGGGGCTACCTGGCCCCATCTGCCCCAGCCCCAGTGGCAACTGGCCCAGATGTTGCATGGCTCAGCTCCCAGCAGAGGTGTGGAACTGTGGCAGGGCCCACGGCAGGGCAGTGCTGGGGGTAGGAGGAACTTTGATGAATTGAATTGCCCCAGAGTTGCATCTGATATGCCAGAAATGGAGAAAATTAGTCATGAAGTGCTGCTCCACCCATGGAGAGAAAGCTAACGGAGCAGTTTAACCCTGTGCAGGGGAGCCCTGACCTGGTATTGATGCTGCAGGCTAGCAGAGCTGTGGCTGGGAGCTGTGGCTGGGATCTGGCCACCCTCCATTCCCTGGGCCACCCCTGTGTGGAGATGCTGAGGATGTCCCCGCAGTAATGGGTGCATGTCCACAGGAGTGGGAGCGTCCTGGGTGATGGGATCAGATAGGATCTGTGTGCCCAGGTGACCTGGCCCAGTTCAGCCTTGGCTCGCTGGGCTTCAGGGTCACTCTTGGAGGAGCAGGGAGTGCTACCGGAGCACCAGAGCTTTGCTCCTGGCACGATGTTGGGACAGCAGGATGCCCTTTGAGGGTCCAGCTGCTGCTGTTGACAGTGGGAATGCAGCCCTGCAGGAGCTGGGGTATTGCCCGCTTGCTGCCACCGCTGCCACCACTGCCGCCTTCCCCAGCACGTGCTGAGTTGGGGAGGATGATGCCAAAGGCTTGGGCAGGCAAGGGCAGCAGCCCCAGCTCCCATGTGGCCTCCAATGCTGTGCCCTGAGCTTTCACTGACCTTGCCTGGGTGTCCTGGACCCTCCTGTGCTGAGCACACAGCCCTGCGGCCCCTGGGGGACAGTGGGGACAGCGGGGTGGCGGGCAGGGGGTGTCTCAGGGTGCTGTAGGAGGTCCCCAGCAGGACTGGCAGCCGTGCCATGAGCCTGTCCTTGGCTCTGCTGGGTTCCCAGGGGCTCAGATCTGCCCCTATGACACCTCCCTGTGCTGGCTGAACCTTTCACTCAGGCACAGCTGCCAGCACCGTGTCCCTGTCCCTCCTTGGCACTGCGGCAGAGGGGACCCGGCGCTCCCCAGCCCCGTGGCGAGGAGATGTGCGGCGGTCCCGAGGGCAGGTACGGGCCGGGAGGAGAGCAAGGAGGAGCTGTGGGGGTGGGAGAGGGTGTGCTGCGGAGGGAGGTCTCCGAGCAGCTCCCTGTAAAGGCGAGGTGGGGAGGCAGGAGCTGCTGAGGAGGAGGAGGGCTGGTGGCAGCGCAGGTCGGGAGCAGCTGGGGTGAAGGCGGGTGGGGTGCGGACCCTCCCCACCCGACCTGCAAGATGAGGGTGTTTGGGGGGAATGGGGTATGTGGCAGGAGCTCCATGGAGGAACAGGGAGATGGGGCTGATCCCTCCATCCCCGTGCCTTGACTGAGGGTGTCCCCGCCGCAGGAGCTGCTCCCTGGGACCTGTTTGGGGAACGCGGAAGGGCCATGTGGGCTGTCGGCATCCTGGGCTGGCTGCTGCTGCTGCTGCTGCCAGTGTCCCGGGTGGCAGGTGAGCGCGGGGACGTCGCGGGGGTGGCAGCGGGGCTTGGGCACCCTGGGGCAAGGACGGGAGCCCAGGGGCAGCGCGGAGCTGCGCCCGGGAGGTGCCGGCATGCGGAGCACGGGCATCGCCCTGGGGCAGGCGGGAGAGCACACAGGGATACGTCCCTGAGCCATCAGCCACCGCCACCCTTCCACGCCTCCCAGGTGCCCGACCCTGCATCCCCAAGGATTTTGGACACGGCTCGCTGGTTTGTGTGTGCAACGCCACGTACTGTGACACGCTGGACCCCCTGGTCCTGCCGACCCCCGGCTCCTACGTCAAGTACGAGAGCAGCAAGGCCGGCAAGCGGCTGGAGAGGAGCGAGGGGAGATTCCAGAGCAGTCTGCGCACCCCAGGTACTGCCACGGGTGGGTGGCGGTGCCTCCGAGGGACCCCCGGGCAGCACGGACTGAGCCGGGCTCTTCCCGCAGGGCTGCTGCTGACCCTCAACATCTCCACGCTGTACCAGCATGTGAAGGGCTTCGGAGGGTCCCTCTCCGATGCTGCTGCCATGAACATCCTGAAGCTGTCACAGCCAGCCCAGGACAACCTGCTGCGCTCCTACTTCTCTGAGAGCGGTGAGCGGTGCGGGCACGGCGGTGTGAGCAGATCGTGGGGTCACCAGAGGTGGCTGTGCCTGTCCCTGCTGCAGGGACGTCGTCACCTGGATGCTCCGGTGCCGCTTGATGCTTTTCGTGCTCCTCAGGGATTGAGTACAACCTCATCCGGGTCCCCATGGCTTGCAGCGACTTCTCTGTGCGCCCCTACAGCTATGATGATGTCCCTGATGACTATGAGCTGAAGCACTTCAGGCTGGCGGACGAGGACGTGAAGATGAAGGTGGGAGGCTGAAGCTGCGGCCATCAGCACCTTGTCCCCTCTGGTGCCGGAGCTCCTGCCTGTGCCAGGACCTCCAGGACCAGGTGCTGCTGAGCCCTGCACACTGTGGCAGTGCAGCATGGGGACAGCCTATGGGAGCTGGCACCTCCTCCGGGGCACGTCCTGGCGCATCCCAGCTGGCACTGGCAGGGTGAGGAGCCAGGGCGCTGTGCCTGGGGTGGTGCTTGCCAGCTACCAATCCCTGCTGAGGTCCCCTGAGTTCTCCCCTTCCTCCAGAGCTAGGCCCTGTGGTTTTGGGGAACTGTGGCTGCAGCTGATCCTGTCCCTCTGCCCCCTCCCACAGATTCCCCTTCTGCGCCGAACTTTGGCCATGAGCAAGCGGCCGCTGTTGCTGTTTGCCAGCCCCTGGACTGCCCCAGCCTGGATGAGGAGTAACGGGGATGTCCGTGGGAAAGGGACTCTGAAGGGGAAGGCAGGGGACAAGTACCACAAGAGCTGGGCCAACTACTTCATCAAGTACTGTCTCTGGAGCCAGGCTGGGATGGGCAGCGGGAGGAGGATTAGGGTGGGAGTGGAGGGGCAGCACAGCTGATTCTGCCCCCCCTTCTCTGCACCAGGTTCCTGGATGAATATGCCAAACACAACGTGACCTTCTGGGCAGTGACGGCGCAGAACGAGCCACTGGCGGGGCTCCTCACACCCCCCCAGGCCCCCACCATCGCCTTCACGGCCGCACAGCAGCGGGACTTCATCGCCCAGGACCTGGGCCCCGCGCTGGCCCACAGCCCCCACCGCACACGGCTCCTCATGCTCGACGACCAGCGCATCCACCTCCCACACTGGGCCAAAGTGGTGAAGAGCAGCGCCCCTGCCTTTCCCCTCTCTCCCCAGCCCCAGGCTTTATTGGGAATGGAGCTGGCAGCCTCTCCCAGCCCTGGAGAGCGGGAGCAAACCGGGTCTGCCAGAGTGGGAGCCGGAGCTGGCTCCTTCCAGAGCAGCCGCCTCCGCGTGTGCCCGGCGGGAGTGAGGACAGGAGGTGGCACCCATATCCTGGATCCCTGGATCCTGGCAGTGCTGCTGGACACCAGCACCTTTTCTGGGCAGAGTTTTGGCTTGATTTCGTTTCCCCCCCAATAATGCTGCAGGGGTTGTTTGGGGGAATTACCTAAAACTAGGAGGAAAGAAAGTAAAATGTGCTCCTGCCCCAGCCTCAAGCCAGGCAACATGCCCCTCCTTTTCCTCCAGCTGCAGGGCTGGACCACCCCAGGGGGATGTGGAGGGAGGACCAGGCAGCAGCAGGGCCCAGGTGGAGGGCAAAGGGCCCACTGAGAGGCAAACCTGTGCCCCATCCCCTGTGCACTGCACCCACCGAGGTGCCAAACCATGCTGGGGCACCAGATCCATGCCAGGGTGCTGCAGGGAGGGGGCTGCAGGTGGGGTGGGCTGTGGTGCCCATGGGAGGGGACAAGAGGTGGCCCTGAGAGACCACACTGGCACACGGAGTCCACGTGTCCATCCCCGCAGGCTTCAGGCATGGGGAGCGTCGGTGTGAGGCATCTCCTTTGCTCCCTAGGTCCTGGGAAACGCCACAGCTGCCCGTTATGTGGCTGGCCTGGCGGTCCACTGGTACCTGGATGCCATCGTCCCGCCTGGCTGCAGCCTGGAGGCCACCCACAAGCTCTTCCCCGACCATTTCCTCCTCTACACAGAGGCCTGCACTGGCTTCTTCACGTTCCGCTTCGCCGTGTCCCTGGGCTGCTGGGAGCGGGGGGACCACTACAGCTACAGCATCCTGACGGTACGGCCCCCACACGGCCCGCCCGGGGCTGGGGGGAGCCCTGCACAGCCCCTTCCCTGCCCCCCCAGGTCATGAACCACTTTGTGTCTGGTTGGACCGACTGGAACCTGGTCCTGGATCTGGAGGGAGGCCCCAACTGGGTCAAGAACTTTGTGGACAGCCCAGTCATTGTGGACGGCAGCAAGGACGTTTTCTACAAGCAGCCCATGTTCTACCACATGGGGCACTTCAGGTGGGTCAGGGGGGCTCAGGTGCTGCCGCCAGCCCCAGACCAGGGGCAGAACCCATCTCCTGGTCCTCTCCCCACAGCAAGTTCATCCCCGAGGGCTCCCGGCGGGTGGGGCTGCACAGCAGCCGCCGTTGCCTCCTCTGCCAGCTGGAACACGTGGCCGTCCTGCGCCCTGATGGTGCCCTTGTCCTGGTGGTCCTCAACAGGTCAGCTCGGGCAGGGGACGGGGATGATGCTCAGCCCAGGCTGTGCCGACCGGCTCAGCCCCTCTCGCTCCCCAGGTTTGGCCGGGATGTGCCATTTGGAATCCGGGACCCTGCCATGGGCTTCATTGAGACTGTGGCTCCAGCCCACTCCATCCAGACCTACCTGTGGCGGCAGCAGTGAGAGCCAGGGGAGTGCTGGGGGGCTCTGGGGGGCTCCGGGGGTCAACTCTTCCTCCACCCTTTCCAGCATCCCTCAGGAGTGGCAGCAGATGCCAGGAGTGCAGCCCCTGCACGAGGGGCTCCGTGTGCTCCTGGCACTGGGGTCTGGCCAGGCCTGCTCCTTCCCAGCCTCCCCTCCCTCCCGGCACTTCCCATCCCTCTGGAAGCTCCCTCTGCAGCAGCTCCTGGGCCACACTTCCACACGTGGCCCCCTTGAAACCTTCGCGTGTGTCGTGGGCGCCAAGTAAAGCCATGACGCTCTCCCTCCGGAATGTGCCGTTCCCGTCAGTGTTTCCTCTACGCGCTCGGAAATCGCTCGGTTTTCCTCGGCGGGGCGGCTCGGGGCCAGGGGTGCCCCGGGGGCTCCGGCCCCCGTGGCCTGCGGGTGTCTCCTTGTTTATCCCTGCAGCTGGAGCCTCCGCCACTGCCAGCCCTTGATTCATTCCATATGTGCTGTTGGTTTTCCCCAGCTTGCTTTTTGGGGGAATATTTTAAAAATCCAAATGTCAGACGCTGTTGGAAAGGCAGAGTAAATGATATCAGTGGCCCCATCCACCAAACCTTACGGACAAATTAGGCTGGTGCCACCGTCTCCAGGGTGGCCCCTGGACAGAGTCCCCTCTATTCTGGCTGTGGCCAACACTGGCCACAGCCCGCAATGACCTCCCTGTCCTATTTACTTTCCCTAAATACCAGTTACAGTATTCTCTGTGCCTTTGAGAACGTTACCAGCGTCTTTGAAGTACAGGAATGAGAAAGCCAGAGCTCTCCTTGGCCAATGCCCCTGTGTGAGAGCCACGGAACTGCTGAGGTTAGGGAAAACGAAAAACCCAGAGGCTTTACAGCTGGTTTATTGGAGTGTGGTGTGAAGGTGGCACCGGGCTCCATCCCAGCCCTGTTCAAGGAGCCTGTCCTGTGCTTTTATCCGTGTTCCTGGGGAATGCTGGCCCCAACGGCAGCTGGGTCAGGCTGCGTGTGCTTAGAATCATAGAATAGAATCATGGAATCCTTGAGGTTGGAAAAGGCCTCAAAGATCATCAAGTCCAACCGTTCCCCCAGCACTGCCAAGGCCAGCCCTAAGTCACGTCCCCAAGTGCTCCATACACATTTGTTAAATCCCTCCAGGGATGATAACTCCACCCAGACGATGCCAGGGCTGGACAGTCCTGTCCGTGAAGAAATTTTCTTTAATATTCAACCTAAACCTCTCCTGGGAAATGCCATAGCTCTCCTGAAGCAACGTGAGGCCATTTCCTCTTGTTCTTGTTCCCTGGGAACAGACCTTGACCCCACCTGGCTGCCCCCTCCTGTCAGGGAGTTGTGTAGAGCCAGAAGGACCCCCCTGAGCCTCTTTCTCTGCAGGCTGATCCCCCCAGCTCTCTCATCCTCTCCTGGTGCTCCAGACCCCTCCTCAGCTGCATCCCCTTCTCTGGACATGCTCCAGCTTCTCAATGTCCCTCTTGTCAGGAGGGGCACAGAACTGACCCCCAGGATTCCAGGGGTGACCTCATCAGTGCCCAGGCTCACTGTGCTGGTCCTGCTGCCACACCATTCCTGACACCTTGGGAATGTCCCCTTCCCAAGGGACATCGGAGCCCTCACCCCCGGTGCTCAGCAGGGCTTAGGGACAGGTGTGCAGGGCAAGGCTTTGGCTCAGCCCCTCTGGGCTGGCTCCTGCTCCTGCCTGTTTGGAGCTCAGCTGCTGCGGGATGCTGCCTTCCCTCCCGGCTGAAAATCCAGCTGGGAAACGGGGGGATGCAACACCCCACCCCGGGCAAGGGGAGCGAGGGGTGGGGTGAGGCTGGAGGAACCACCCCCATCATCCCCACTGCCTGCAGCGAGTGCTGGGGGAGCCCTTCTCTGGTGGCAGCAGGAGAAGCAGGGTCTTGGGTGGGGGGCTGCGGTCTCCAGCAAGGCGCTGTGACTCTGGGCCAGAGGCTGTGACACTGAGTGAGGGGCTGTGCTCCCTGGTTGAGGGTCTGGGGTCCCTGGGAGGGGGTCTGTGGTCCCTGGGACAGGGCTGTGACACTGAGTGAGGGGCTGTGGTCCCTGGGAGGGGGTCTGTGGTCCCTGGGTGGGGGTCTGTGGTCCCTGGGAGGGGGTCTGTGCTCCCTGGGAAGGGGGCTGTGGTCCCTGGTTGAGGGTCTGTGGTCCCTGGGTGGGGGTCTGTGGTCCCTGGGTGGGGGTCTGCCTCCCTGGCCACAGCCACCAGCTGCCCCAAGGGGAACCCGGGGCAGATGCCGCTCCCTCCGTGCCTCTGCCCGCCTCCTGTTTCTCCTGCGGAGCAGATGCCTGCAATTAAGAAGGATCCCAAATTAGACGGTGTGGAGCCCAGACTTGTTTTGCAGATGATAAATTGCTGCAGCCGGCTCCACCCAGCCCGCTGCGGCCTGGGGCTCCGGCGTGGGGGGCACGGTGGGGGCGAGGGCACCTCTGCGGGCAGCGCTGTGCCCACCGCCCGCTGAGCCAGCGGGAGGGGTCGGGGGTCCCTGCCATGACCGGCTGCTGCCTCTACCCGTGCCAGGAAAGGTCCTGGAGCAGCCACAAACGGGACACAGGTCATGGCAGTGGCACTGGCCATGGCAAAGCCCAACTGCTGCCAGGTGGGATAAGCAGGGACCCAGGGTGGACACAGCCTGCCCTGCCCTGTCCGACGTGTCCCAGGACGCAGGGCTGCTCCCGTGGATCTCTTCCTGGCTATGGGGGGTGATGGAGGCACTTGAGGGGCTGGGGAGCATCCTCCCCTCCCCAGCTTCCCTCTGGCCACTGGAACAGGTTTCAGGAGAGCTTTGCAAATACTGTGGTGTGGGGAAAGCTCGCTGGAGCCAGGTTGCAAAATCATCCCCAGGCTCCTCTTCAAACGCAGAGTCCCATGAGCTGTCCCATTCCAAACTCACCTTTCCTGCTCCGCCAGACGCGTCACCTCCCAGCAAGCACAGCCAGGACACAGGTCCCGCCACCTCTGCCACAGAGACGCAGAGAGAGGTGGTTTGGCAGCAGGTGAGTGCCCTGGATCCGAGGTGGCTTCAGCAGGTGGGAACGGGGATTGAGATGGGGATAGGGATGGGACAGCCCTGGGCAGCAGGACCATGCTGAGGCCATGCCCTGGCCAAGCTGGGCTTCATTCCCAGGCAGGGAGTGGGAAGCAATGGAGGTGGAACGGCTGCCTGGCCCCACTCCACATCCCACAAGATCTCGGGGAGAAACAAGAGGGCACCATCCCACCCTGGCAGAGGTGCCCAGGTGTCCTCAGTCTGGCATCAGGGTCCTGAGGTTTGGAGGTGGCTCCTGCTGTGCTCTCATTGAGAGGCTCCTTGCGCAGCACCACGAGAAGGACAGGACAGGACAGGGTGTGAACACAGAACAGGGGAATGTGGGACTCTCCATGCCAGGGGCTTGAGCCCCAAACCACTCTGCCTGGACAAGCCCCAGCTGCCACGCACGTGGGACTGGGAGAGTGGAGCTGTTTGCTCCTAGCCCTGGCTCGGGAGGCACTGGGGATATGTGGGGTGATGCAGCATGGTATGACATGGCATGGCACAGCTGTGGAACAGGTGAGGAGGGACAAAGAGTGGGAGGGAGTTCATGGGAGTGAACAAAGTTGCTGGGTAGAGCCAACGTGGGCGGCTGGGAACAGCGGGCTGGTGGGGTGGCTCACACCTGGGGGGCTGCACCACCACCTGGGACATAGCCAGAACTGTTGGTAGACTCTGGAGGGGTGGGAGGGAAGGTGAGTGCTGGGCTGGAGCAGTGGGCAGAGGGCAGGACAGGCTTAGCCCTGGCAGGGGGGTCTAGTGGTCTCCAAAGTCCCTGGGCTTGATGCTGGGGCTCTCCCTGCCCTGTGTCTGTCCCTGTGTGGGGCTGGGTCAGGTTGAGAAGCTCTGGGTGCTGACATCTCCCCTTGCTCCCAGCTCTAGAGTGTCCACTGGCATTGTCTGAGCCGCTGCAGCAGAGGTGCCATGGGGCCAGGCTGTGCCAGTGTCCTGAGCTGGCTCCTGCTGGCACAGGTGGCCCTGCAGGTCACAGGTATGTGCTGGCACACATCCCTGGGCTTTGGAGGGTGGTGGATTTGGACTCTGTCATGGGTTGAAGGGATGAGCTGGGCTCCTGCCACGGCCCTCGGTGCCCACCTGGTCTTTCCTCTGCTGCAGGTGGCCGTCCCTGTGATGCCAAGGATTTTGGGCACGGCTCGCTGGTCTGTGTCTGCAGTGCCATGTACTGTGACACGCTGGACCCCCTGGTCCTGCCAGCCCCCGGCTCCTACATCAAGTACGAGAGCAGCAAGGCCGGCAAGCGGCTGGAGAGGAGCGAGGGGAGCTTCCAGCACAACGCCAAGAGCCCAGGTAGCACCCTGGCTGCTGCTGCTGCTGTGACAGAGCCTGTCCTACACGGCGGGGATGATGACACTGTGTGTCCCCACAGATTTCCACCTCACCCTGGACACGGCACAGAGGTACCAGAAGGTGAAGGGGTTTGGTGGCTCCATCACTGATGCGGCTGCTATCAACATCCAGTCCCTGTCCAAGGATGCCCAGAAGCACCTGCTCCGCTCCTACTTCTCCGAGGAAGGTGAGCCCAGGGCAGGCAACGCTGTTGGGTGGCAGAGCTGGGGTCTGGCTGCTGAGATTTGTTCTGAGGGGCTGGGGGATCTGGACCCCTCAAATGCAACTCGAGGATGCCCATCACCACCTGCCTGTCCTCAGGCATTGAGTACAACCTGGTGCGTGTGCCCATGGCCAGCACTGACTTCTCCATCCGCCTGTACACCTACGCCGACGCCGAGGGCGACTTCGAGCTGAGGCACTTCAACCTGACCGAGGAGGACACGCACATGAAGGTGAGTCCTGCAGGAAGAGTCTGAGGGATTGGGTCTGCGGATGGGATGGGATGGGATGGGCTGGGATGGGATGGGATGGGATGGGATGGGATGGGATGGGATGGGATGGGATAGACTGGGATGGGATGGGATGGGATGGGATGGGATGGGATGGGATGGGATGGGATAGACAGGGGATGAAAGAGAGTTCCTTCCTGCTGATTAGGAGGGAGACGACTCATCCTTCCACCTGGGTGGGAGAAAGGATGGGATGGGACATGAAGGGATAGGATGGGGTGGGATGAAATAGGAAGGGAAGCATTTCCAGTGGGGAGGGAGAGGATTTATCCTTACACCTGGGTGGGATGGGATGGGGAAAGGAAGCACCTTCCCATCTCTGGGAAGCTCCTGCTTCTGCTGCCTGCACTGCCAGCACTGGGACAGACCCAGAGAGCTCTCCCATCCCACTTCTCCTCAGATCCCCATCCTCCAAGCAGCCCAGGCAGTGGCCAAGCGGCCGCTGTCACTGTATGCCAGCCCCTGGACCTCGCCGGTCTGGATGAAGACGAATGGAGCTATGACAGGGAGGGGAACACTGAAGGGCAGCCCTGGGGACAAGTACCACCGGGCCTGGGCCAAGTACTTCATCAGGTGAGGGGCCACGGGGGTGAGGGGGTGCTGGGGATGCTGTACCTGGAGCTGGGGCGTGCACAGGTGTAACAGGGCTGTTCACTGTCTACCCCACACCAGGTTCCTGGATGAATATGCCAAGTACAACCTGACCTTCTGGGCGGTGACAGCAGGGAACGAGCCCACGGCTGGTGAGATCGTCTTCTACCCCTTCCAGTGCCTGGGCTTCTCCCCCGAGCACCAGCGGGACTTCATTGCCCAGGACTTGGGCCCGGCACTGGCCAACAGCTCCCACCGCCATGTCCAGCTCATCATCCTGGATGACCAGAGGGTGATGCTGCCCTACTGGGCAGAGGTGGTGAGTCCCCATAGCAGCTGTCCTGGCCCCACAGCAGAGCTCCCAGCCCTGGGCACTGGTGACCCTTTTCTCCTGGCAGGTTCTCAAGGACCCTGTGGCTGCCAGCTATATCAGTGGCATCGGCATCCACTGGTACCTGGATTTTCTGGCGCCCATCGACCTGACACTCTCCATCACCCATCACCTCTTCCCAGACTATTTCCTCCTCTCCACGGAGGCCTCCACAGGCTCCTACTTCTGGGAGCCCAGGGTGGTGCTGGGTGGATGGGACCGTGGGAGCAAGTACAGCCACAGCATCCTGACGGTAGGGCCTGGTGGGAGCTGTGGACACACCAGCCACCCTGGCCAGCCCCTGGGCCTGCCTGTGGCTCAGTACCACCCCCTGTCCCACAGAACCTCAACAACTACGTGACAGGATGGACCGACTGGAACCTGGCCCTGGACATGGAGGGAGGCCCCAACTGGAGCAAGAACTACGTGGACAGCCCTGTCATTGTGGACAGCAGCAAGGACGTCTTCTACAAGCAGCCCATGTTCTACCACCTGGGCCACTTCAGGTGTGTTGGGGCCACAGCCTGCTGGCTCCAGGTACCACATCCTAAGTACCAGACTCTGACCCTGCTTGTCCCCACAGCAAGTTCATCCCTGAGGGCTCACAGCGTGTGGGACTGGCCGTCTCCAAGAAGTGCCGCCGCTGTGACCTGGAGCACTCGGCTTTCCTGCGCCCCGACGGCGCCATCGTCCTGGTGGTCCTGAACCGGTGAGTGGCTCAGTTCTGATCCCTGGTCAAAGGCCCCACTGACCCCACTGAGCCCCCATCCCCTCTCACTTTCCCCACAGTTCCCCCATGGACGTGTCCTTTGGGATCTCCGACCCACGCGTCGGTTTCTTCGAGGCCGTGGCTCCCAGTGACTCCATCCAGACGTTCCTCTGGAAGCAGCCAGCCTAGCGTGGTCACAGCCAGCAGAGGAGCGAGGTGCCAGCACCAGGTGCCAGCGGTGGTGGCAGCTTGGAGAGAAGACTCCAGTGGGGCTGGGGCTGAAGCACAGCCCCTGCAGCCCCCTGTGCCCCAGGGGACCTGTTTGACCCTAGGGCTGCAACGCCTGTGCTTTTCTAGATGTTTTCATAAAATAAACAGGTTTTCTACAAACTTGCCCAAAGCCCTGACCTCCCCTTGGTACCAGCTCAGTGGGCAGGACTGCCAGTGGCCAGAGGAGGCAGATTTGAGGCTGATGGTACCTCCTGAGTCCCACGGGTCCCATCCCTCCTCTGCCCAGGTTCCTGGGGCATCCCACAGGGCCGGTGCTGCAGGGATGCAGGGGACTGTCACCATAAGGGGTGGCATCTCCTGTCTTCCACTGCAGCATCCCCCAGGCAGGGAAGAGCCCAAAGCAGACAGGGACCAGAGCCCAGCTGCAGTCAGGACACGCAGCCGGGATTTAGAGCAGAGCTCTGGTGTCGGCAGCTCCAGCTTCTCCCCGGCCAGAGCAGGCGGCTGTGGTTTCTGCTGCTGGAGCAGCTATCAGCCCCTCCAGCTAATGGGAACGGGGAGCATGGGGCACATACTTCCTGAGTGACGTTAGAGGGGAGCGTGTTGGGGGGGGGCTGCACTGACTCATCCCCCTCCCAGTGGGGCCCCTCGAACTGGGCCAGTATGGGGGAGGCTGTGCAGCTGGCCCAGCACCGTGGCTCTGCTCCAGCCCAGCGTGGGGGCCTCCGGCCATTGCGCCCGGGTGGGGGGCACGGGGGGCGGGGGCGCGTGTCCGGGAGCGCAGCCTGGGGACGTTCAGCCACCGCAGCAGCAGGGCTGGGATGCCGCTGGCTGGGCCAAACAAGCGAGGGCTGTGTGCCGGCCTGGCCCCTCGCCACCTTTCCATCCGTGCACTCGGAAACCGGCAGCGACCGGCGGGAACGGCGGCGCAGCCAACACCGGCACCAGCCCCACGCCGGGTGGCCCAGGGGAGCGCGGGGGAAGACGGAGCTCAGGTGGCCGCCCCCGACCCCGCTCGCAGCCCACGCGATGCAGCTGTGCCAGCCGCAGGAGCTCCCCGGCGCTGGCAGGCGTGCTGGAATGCAAACAGATGTCAGCGCTGGAGGGATCCCGGCTGCTGGAGCGGGGCTCCGGGTGTCCCGCTGGCAGCGGGGAGTGCTCCTGGGCTGGGGACGTGTCCTGACGAGCAGCCCCAGCTGGCCTTGCCTCTGGTTTTGTGTCCCGTGCTCGGGGCAGCCGGGCTGGCAGCGGTGTGGAGGGGAGGTCCCAGCCCCACAGAACTGCTGTCTGCGCTGCCCCAGGGATGCCACATCAGAATGACGCAAGGGGAGATGTGGGGCTCAGCCCCAGTGCTGTTGGAGAAGGCACAGGGGGCACTGCCGAGATGCCACAGACACTTTCAGGTCCCCGCTCTGCCCGGTCCTCAGCAAGACCCAAGGCTGCGGCGAGGGGCAGAGCCACAGGCAGGACACACTGTGCCTGCTGCAACACTCCAGCCTGGGCAGCTGGGGAAACTGGGAAGGGCTTTAAGGGTGCTGGGAGTACGAGAGGGTGCAGGCAGAGAGAGGGAGGTTTATTGGCATGGCAGGGATGCTCCCATGGAGAGGGCTGTGCTTCCTGGTGGGACACAGAGCGGAGCACCTGCAGTGATGCTGCCAGGCTCCCAGTGTAAAAACAGTCAGTTCCAGGGGCTGGGGAGGAACAGTCACACATCCTCACTCCTCCTCCTCCTCTTCCTCCTCCTCCAGGGTGACGGGCTGCCGGCCGGCCGGCCCCACGCTGCCACGCTGGATGGAGACGATGCCGCTCAGGAAGGCGTAGCCCAGCATGGCCGCCAGCCCCACCAGCACTGACAGCAGCTGCTTGCGCCGTTTGTGGGGGTCCTCCTCTGCTTCACTGCCGTCTGTGCCTGCAGCCCGAGGGGCGCCGGTCAGGGGATCACCTGCAGAGGCAGAGCAGGGATGTGGGTGGGAAGGGTCACCCTGAGACCGAGCACCAGCTGGGGGGACAGGTCACCCCAAGCCCGAAGGGTGAGGTGGGGGATGGCTCTCACCTCTGTCCCAGGGGAAGTAGAGGCTGAGGATGGAGGTGCAGTAGTTGCACAGGTTCTGCAGGGACTTCAGGTGCTGCTGCAGCTTCCCGTTGGGCAGCTTTGCCTTCAGGAGCGGCGCCAGGCGGCTGAAGACTAAGGCGTCGAGGGAGGCCGGCCTGGGACACAGAGAGCTGTGCCTGGGCCACTGTCCCCACCCAAAGCCAGCCAGACCCACCAGCCACCCCCAGTCCCAGAAGCCCTGGGGATGGCATGTGGCTACCCCAGCTTGGGAGGGTGCCCTGTCCCCTGTAAGCCTGTTCCACCCCCAAAGCAATGCACAGGGGCTGCAGCTCCCCTGCAGATTATCCCTGCCCTGCTGGGGTGCAGGGGGCTCTCAGACCCTTTTCCCATCCCCCCCTTTGGCCACCTACGAGTCTCCAAAGAAAAACTTCTGGGAGCCGAGGCGCTGGGAGAGGAGTGTCAGGCATTCCCGAGCTTCCCGGTAGAGCTGCAGGAGGAGGACAGAGCGTTGGCACCTGCCCAGGTACCCCCAAAGTGCTCAGGGGAGCAGGAGCGGGGAACCCAGACCCCAGTTTGGACTTTGGCCTCATAGGGATTCCCTGGCCACTGTGCCCAGACACCATCCCTCACCTCCTTCTCCAGCTTCTCCTCATCCTCCATGTAGTCGTCCCCCCACATCAGCTGCAGCCGCTCCAGGTGCCGCTTGTGCATAGCGTTGGGCAGGAAGAAGTTGAGGGGGAAGGGGATGGTTTCTGCGTACCACTTCCGTGTGTGCTCCACGTAGTTCTTGGCGTCCACCCAGAAGGTGTGGATCTGTGGTGGAGAACAATGCACAGCCTGGCCACGGTGGGGCTGCAGCCCCTGCCCAGCACAGCCATCCTGGAGACCACGAGGGGCTGCAGGAGCATTGGGGTCAAGGGCAGACCCCAGCCCGGACTGCAAAACCCACTGCTGCCACCCCCAAACCCCATCCCTGCATGCCAGGCTCCCGGGATGTTGCTGCTGGCAGCGCTCTCTGGCTCTGCTGGCAGCTGGGCACACACCTGAGCCCACCCCATCCTCGGCGAGCCCCCCTTCCCTGCAGCCCCCCTGAGCCTCACCAGTACTGGCAGCAGCTTCTCCTCCAGCAGGGACACGAAGGCCAGCGTGTCCGCGCTCTGCGTGGCCGACAGGTCGTAGTCAGCGTTGTACTTCTGCGGAGAAAACGCCCGGTTTGATTCCGCAGGATGCGCCAAATCCCGCCCGTGGGCGACACAACAGAGGTCCCTCCTCCCTGAGGGGCTCCAGTACCCCACAGCCCGGGCCAGGGGGTGCCCCAAGCCCCTCTGTACCTGTTTCCTGAGGTGTGTTATGATCTGCTGAGGTTTGGAGATGGTGCCCTCGTCCTGCGTCCTCAGCGCGGGCAGGTGCCCTGCGGGCAGGGGGAGGGGGCTGCAGTCGCTGTGCCCGGGGCCACCCTGAGCAGGTGAGGGGAGCAGGGGGCTGGAATGGGGGATGGACCCCCATGCCTGGGTGAGGGGCACGAGGCACTGACAAAATGAGATGGAGACAGAGCGCTGCAGGGGAGAGGGTAGAAACTGTGTGATGGGAAATGGGAAATGTGCTGGGACAAGGGGGTTGTGGTAGGGAGTGGGGCTGGGTGATGGATGTGGGGTGCAATGGGGTGTAAGAATGCAGTAATACAGGGGGGGCACAGAAAAAAGGGGGGGGTGAAATGAGGTGGGGGTATGATGAGAGTGTTCAATGGGACACGAGTCACAATGGGATGAGGGGGTGCAATAGGACAAGAGGGGGTGTGATGGGACAGGGATGGCGACGAGATGTTGGGGGTGTGACGGGATACAGGGGAGTGCCGTGGCTGGGGGGACACAGGACAAGGGGGTACAATAAGAGTGGGAGGGGGCAGTCAGGGGCACAGGAGATGAGGGTGGGAGGGTGTGATGGGTGCAATAAGACGGTAACGGTGGTAATGGGACAGGGGGTGCAGGGTGTGGAGGAAAGACCATAGGGCAAGAGGGATGAAGTGGGGTAAGAGGGGCAGGGAGTCCAGGGGGGCCACAGGACGTGAGAGAAAAGATGGGGTGGGAGGCTGTGATGGGGTGCGGGGTGTAAATGTGTGGAGGCTGCACTGATGGGGAGTGGGGACAACGGGATCACGTTGCGATGGGGTGGGGGGTACCGGCGGTGCCGGGATCCTCGGCGGGGCCCTTACCGGAGGGGCTCCTCCAGGGGCTGGTGACCCGGTGCACCTTCAGCGGCGCCCCCGTGAACCGCGCGTAGGTCTGCGGGACGGAGGGAGGGAGGGATAGAGCGGGGTCTGCCCGCGGGACCCCGGCCCAGCCCGCAGCGGCCCCGCCGCCCCGAGCCCACCGCTCACCAGCACAGCCAGGCAGTCGGGATCCACCGAGGGCAGCCCCCAGCCCCCGGCCCAGCAGAACAGCTCCATGGGCGCCGCCATCTTCTGCCGACCCGGAACCGGACGGGCGGCCCCGCCCGCCCCCGCCGCGGGGCGGCACCGAGCGGGGGCTCCGCGATGGAGCGGGGCCGGGCAGAGTCCGGGCACGGGAACGGTGGTGTCTGCAGGGGCCTTTGGGGCAGAACCCGCAGAGCCCCGCACCGCTCAGCTCCACACTGCTCACCCTGCTCATCCCCGCACCGCTCAGCTCCACACTGCTCACCCTGCTCATATTCGCACCGCTCAGCTCCACACTGCTCCCCCTGCTCATCCCCGCACCGCTCAGCTCCACACTGCTCACCCTGCTCGGCCCCGCACCGCTCACCTTGCTGTGCCCGCATCTCTCTGCATCGCCCCGCACAGCTCAGCTTAGCTCCACCCTGCTGTACCGCACCGCTCAGCTCCACACTGCTCAGTCCTGCTTAGCCCCGCATGGCCCCACTTTGCCTCGCACGGCTCAGCTCAGCTCCACACGGCTCACGCTTCTTGCTCCCGCACCGCCCAGTCCCGCTGTGCCCCTTATCTCCCCGCATGGGCCCGCACCGCTCAGCCCAGCTCCGCATTCTCACCCTGCTCGGCCCTGCACCCCCCGCACGTCTCCATGGGCAGCAGCCGGGCCGGGAGCCCGCTGGCAGCGGCGGGGGGAAAACGCCCGGTGTGCGGCTCGGGACCACCCCCGTCCACCGCCCGCATCCCCCCGTTACGCGGGATCGCTGGCGCCGAGCCGCACCGGGGGCGCGGGGCTGGGGCAGCCCCGGGGCCGGACTCGGCCCGTTGTTATAGCACCGGGGGAAACAGCTGTAAACACGGCCGGGACACCGCGGGCCGCCCGCCCGCCTTGGCCGGAGCTCCGCGGGAGCGGCTCAGCGGCCCGAGCACACCCCGGCGGTACGGACCGGCCCCGGGGCTCTGCCGGCTCAGGGGTTCCGAGGCGAGGGGCACCGCCGTACAAGCGGCCCCGCGGCCGGTCCGGCTCTCCCGGGCCGGGATGCTCCCGGGCACGCGCCCGCCTGACCTCCCGGTGAACCGGCACTGTGAGCGGGGGCTGCCCCGGGACCGGCAGTGCCGGGGGGGTTCACCGTAGCCCCGGGCCCAGTGCGCCGCGCCGGCACCGTACCCCCCTCCGGGACCAGAGCGGCCACCGGTCGCCCGCCGGTGTCCCCGGGATGCGCCCGGTGATTGACGGCTCTTTGTTTCCTCCTCGCCGGCCCCGCCGGCCCCTCCCCCGTGCGCCACCCCGCCCCGCCGCGCTCCGCTCCGCACCGGCGGCACCGGCGGCACCATGGGGGCACCGGGGAGCCCCGCGCTCCTGGCGCTGCTCCTGCTGGGCGCCGCCGCCGCGGCGCGTCAGGGGCTGCAAGGTACTGGAGGGGCTCGGGGCGGCGGTGGGGCGGCCCCGAAGGGGCGGCGGGACGGGAGGCAGTCGGGGGTCGGCGGACCCCGTCCCACGGGCGCTGACAGCGGCTCTGCTCGCCCCGGGGGAGCTGGGCTGCGGGCAGCGGGGACGCTGGAACGTTCACCCCGGGGCGAGGGGTGGCCGCCGGTTCCGATGCTGGCTCGGGGCCGCGGGGGAGTGCCACGGCGGGGCTGACCCCGGCACCAGAGCCCCTCTCGGTCTGCCCGGTGCGTCTGCACGGAACAGGAGGGCACCGTGCGGCAGCGGGACCGAGTTGTCCGCGCTGCCCCCTAAGCGCCCCGAGCCCGTACCGGGGGCCCGACCGTCCCTCCGGGATCTCCCGGTCTGGCCGCCCCTCGTTGGGGCTGGCCCGCGGGGGTCTCCGCGGGGCAGGATGCAGGGAAGCCCCAACAGCGGGGCGGGCTCCGGGCCGGGACTCTGCCGGTCCCACCGGTGCGGGGGCTCCGCGGATCCCGCTCGGCGGCGCGGCCGGTCCTGGAGCGCCACCGCGCGGGGGCGGCCCCGGAGCCCCCGGGGCTTCCCTGGTTCCCCCAGAGCCCGGCGGTCCAGGGACACCCCCACTGCACGGCCGCTCTGACCGCACCGAGCATCCCCGTAGCCACCGGCCGGAGCTGCGGCTGCCGGTGCAGAGGCGACCCCGGTGCTTGTGTCTCGTAGTCATCGATCTGCTGCTCGTGAGCGAGGCTCGGCAGATGGCCAGCGTGGCCCACAAGATCCGCATGGAGCTTCTGACTGTCAACGACGTGTACCTCCTCTCCACCTTCCGCCTGCCCCCCAAGCAGGGGGGGACCCTCTTCGGCCTCTACTCCAAGAAGGACAACACCCGATGGCTGGAGATCTCTGTCGTGGGGAAGATCAACAAAGGTAGGTGGGTGCCCTCTGCGAGGGGAAGGAACTGGCCCTGTTCTTGCCCCAGTGCTCCGAGACAAACGGGACCGAGTTCCTGCAGGGAAGAGCAAAGGGCCCACACCGGTCCCAGGGTGCTGAGGGGGAGCTGATGGCCCCTTCCTGCTCCTCTGCAGTCCTGGTGCGGTACCTGCGGGAGGACAACAAGGTGCACTCGGTCAACCTGCAGCACGCACACGTGGCGGACGGGCAGAGCCACTCTGTCATCGTGCGCCTGAGCGGGCTCCGCAGGGACACGCTGAGCGTGGAGCTCTATGTCGACTGCAAGCAGATGGACTCCAGCGTGGGGCTGCCTGAGCTGTCTGAGATCCCCCTGGCCGAGGTGGAGTCCATCGAGGTGCGCACAGGGCTGAAGGCTTACCAGAGGATGCAGGTGAGTGCCAGGGGGATTGAGGCCCCCAGCCAAGGCACCCTTGGATTTGGGCAGAGCCCCCCACGCTGACTGCCTCTCCCCACGCACGTCAGGGGTTTGTAGAGTCGATGAAGCTGATCCTGGGAGGGTCCATGAGCCGTGTGGGGGCCCTGAGTGAGTGCCCTTTCCAAGGAGATGAGTCCATTCACAGTGCAGGTAATGGCCTGGGGGGCTTTTGGGGTCACCTGTGTGGGCTGTGGCACAAGTGACAGCACAGAGGGATGTTCCTGTCCCTCCTGGCCCAGTGTCCCCCCACACAGGTGGGAGCTACACTGCTGCACGTGTGCTGACCAGGAGTGACCATGTGAGGTGAGGCTGCTGGGGTGTGACAGCAGCATTTGGTAATGTCTCATCTTTCTCCTTGCAGTGACAAGCGTGCTGGCCTCCATCCTGGGTAAGTCCCTGCTCTGCTTCCCACGTTGCCTGGCATGAGGCATTTGGGGCTCTATAGAGGCAGAAATCCCTGCACAGCCTGTCCCAGTGCCCCATGTGGCTTTAGAGGGTGTGGGGTGTGCTAAGGGAGAAGGGGCCCTGTGTGACCCAGCTGTCTGGTGCCTCATCCTCCCAGCTCAGTGCCAAAGGGAAGAGCAGTCCCAGCCCACAGCCCAGGGAGACTTTGTCTGTCCTGGGATTGACCTTTCCTTTCTGCTGCTGGCAGGTGAGCAGACCAAAGCACTGGTCACGCAGCTGACCCTCTTCAACCAAGTCCTCACCGAGTTGCGGGAAGACATTAGAGACCAGGTGGGACTGAGGGTTACTGGCACTCCCTGGGCTGGATTTTTCTGGGGCACAGTGTCACAGTGCCTCCTGATGCTCCATGCTCTGCTGCCTTGCAGGTGAAGGAGATGTCTCTGATCCGCAACACCATCATGGAGTGCCAGGTCTGCGGTGAGTGCTGGCGAGGCTCCCACCTCGGGGGACAAAGGCACACCTTGTCTCACCCCTCACCTGCCTCTCCTCTCCTCAGGCTTCCACGAGCACCGGTCCCGCTGTAACCCCAATCCCTGCTTCAGCGGTGTGGACTGCATGGAGACGTACGAGTACCCTGGGTACCGCTGCGGGCCCTGCCCGCCGGGGCTGGAGGGCAACGGCACGCACTGTGCTGACATCGAGGAGGTGAGCATGGTCTGGGGGGATCAGCAGCCCCACAGAGGACTCTTCCTCTTAGGAAGGCTCTGCCTCGGGGTGGCCTGGGGCAGCAGCCACCCTGAGAAAGCGAGAGGTGGGATGCTGTGCCCGAGGATGAAGCCTGTGTCTTTCCTGGTGTTGCAGTGTGCCCATGCCAATCCCTGCTTCCCTGGCTCCAAGTGCATCAACACAGCCCCCGGGTTCCGCTGCGAGCCCTGTCCCCGTGGCTATCGAGGCAACACCGTCTCTGGCGTGGGGGTGGACTATGCCAGGGCCAGCAAGCAGGTGAGTGCAGTGCCACAGGACTCAGCTGGGTCCCCATGGGATGTCTGGAGCGCAGGACAATGCACTGCCTGTGGAGGAGGACAGCTTCCTGGGGGTAGGAGTGGGCAGAGGGAAAGATCCAAGGTGATCATTTCCCCCTACGCCGCTCACAGGTTTGCACAGATATCGATGAATGCAACGATGGCAACAATGGGGGCTGCGACCCCAACTCCATCTGCACCAACACGCTGGTGAGCAGCGCTGTCCCGCTCCCTCCCTGGCTCCTGGGGCCGCTCAGCTCCCCTCATCCCACCCCTGCCCTCTCTCCCCCAGGGCTCCTACAAGTGCGGGCCCTGCAAGTCAGGCTTTGTGGGCAACCAAACGTCCGGGTGCATCCCACAGAGGTCCTGCAGCACTCCCACCTCCAACCCCTGCGACATCAATGGCTTCTGCCTGTTTGAGAGGAATGGGGAGATCTCCTGTGCAGTGAGCAGGGGACAGGGACAGGAGGAGGGTGTGGGGTGTACAGCATGGCAGCATTGGTCCTTCCAGGGCCCTTTCCAGCCCCTAATCTCCTCTTTATTCAGTGCAATGTGGGCTGGGCTGGCAACGGCAACGTGTGTGGGCCAGACACAGACCTGGATGGGTACCCGGATGAGCCCCTGCCCTGCATTGACAACAACAAGCACTGCAAGCAGGTGTGTGCAGGGCATGGGATCCACAGCAGGGCTGTGCTCCAGACCTCATCTCCTCCCTGTTCCTAATGCTGGCCGTGCCTGCAGGACAATTGCCGTCTGACGCCCAATTCTGGGCAGGAGGATGCTGACAACGATGGAATTGGGGACCAGTGTGATGACGATGCTGATGGTGATGGAGTCAAGAATGTGGAGGTGGCTGTGCTGGATGGGTGGCTGTGCCAGTGGCTCTAGGAGGGCTTCTCCTTTTGGCTCAATTCTGAGTCCCTCAAGATGCTTCTGCTGGGGAGCAGCAGGCTGGTGGCTTGGAAATGGTCTCAGTGTGCTGGAGACGTCTTTCTGCCCTGACCACTGTTGGACCCTGGCCTCTTGTCTGCCCACCACCGCAGGGCCAATATCCCCATCCTCTTCTCCACAGGACAACTGCAGGCTCTTCCCCAACAAGGACCAACAGAACTCGGACACTGACTCCTTTGGGGACGCCTGTGACAACTGCCCCAATGTGCCCAACAATGACCAGCGGGACACGGACAGCAATGGCGAGGGGGATGCTTGTGACAATGACATTGATGGGGACGGTGAGCCGCTGTTGGGTTGACCTGGCTGTGCCAGGGAGGCTGTTCCACCAGGGTGGGGGAGGTATCCACTCAGCGCTGTCCTTGCAGGGATACCCAACATGCTGGATAACTGCCCCAAGGTGCCCAACCCTCTGCAAACTGATCGGGATGAGGATGGTGTTGGGGATGCCTGTGATAGTTGCCCTGAAATGAGCAACCCCACTCAGGTATGGCTGGGGCCAGGCTGGACCAGGGGGCCTGGGACGAGTGGGGCCTGGCCCAGCAGGGAGCAGGGGGTCCTCCTCCTTGCCCGAGGATGTCCACTGAACTAGGGCTCCGCTCTCCTCCAGACAGATATGGACAGTGACCTGGTAGGAGACATCTGTGACACCAACGAGGACAGGTGTGGACAGCACTGCAGTGGGGTGACCTCCCCATTGTGTCCCTGGGGGCAGAACTGGGCTCCTGGGTCAGGGACCTGTCAGGAGGGACAATGGGGTTTTTGGGGAGCTGGTTCCACATCCCCAGTTTTGTCATTGCTCTGACCTTGTTCTTGCTCCCAGTGATGGGGATGGGCATCAGGACACCAAGGACAACTGCGCTGAGATCCCCAACAGCTCCCAGCTGGACTCAGACAACGATGGGCTGGGGGATGACTGTGACAACGATGATGACAATGATGGCATCCCGGACTATGTGGCACCTGGCCCAGACAACTGCCGCCTCATTCCCAATCCCAACCAGAAGGACTCGGACGGTGAGCATGGGGTGGGCAGGGGGAGGTGGACCTGCGTGGGCTCAGCCCAGCCCTGACTGGGCACTTGTCCGCAGGGAACGGCGTGGGTGATGTCTGTGAGGAGGACTTTGACAACGACACGGTGGTGGACCAGCTGGACGTGTGCCCCGAGAGCGCCGAGGTGACGCTGACCGACTTCCGCGCCTACCAGACTGTCATCCTTGACCCCGAGGGGGACGCCCAGATCGACCCCAACTGGGTTGTGCTCAACCAGGTGTGGGTGCTGCGCCCCGTGTTTCTGGGGGCTGCGCTGCAGAGTGGGAGCTGAAGGGACCAGGAGGTTCCCAGGGGTGCTGGGGTGCCCCTCACCCAGCTCTCCCCCACAGGGCATGGAGATCGTGCAGACCATGAACAGTGACCCGGGTTTGGCTGTGGGTAAGATAAATTCACACACCCCCAGGACTCTCGGGCAGCCTCCCTACTCTCACTGTGCAGGGGAGTGAGGGTCAGTTCTTTGCCCCACAGAGGGGTGAAGGGTGGGGGTCCCGTGGGGAGAGGGGGCTCCCCGCAGCGTTTCCTGCCTGTAGGTTACACGGCCTTCAACGGGGTGGACTTTGAGGGCACCTTCCATGTCAACACCATCACCGACGATGACTACGCCGGCTTCATCTTCAGCTACCAGGACAGCGCCAGCTTCTACGTGGTGATGTGGAAGCAGACGGAGCAGACATACTGGCAGGCCACCCCCTTCCGTGCTGTGGCTGAGCCAGGGCTGCAGCTCAAGGTGGGTGATGGCCCCACCCACGGGCGGGGTCAGGCCCCCCCCCCCCCCCCCGTTCAGGTTCCCCCTGAAGCCCCCATGCACCTGCAGGCAGTGAAATCCTCGACGGGCCCCGGGGAGCACCTGCGCAATGCGCTGTGGCACACGGGCCACACGCCCGACCACGTCCGCCTGCTCTGGAAGGACCCCCGGAACGTCGGCTGGAGGGACAAGACGTCCTACCGCTGGCAGCTGGCACACAGGCCCCAGGTGGGCTACATCAGGTAAGCAGGGGGGGCATGGGGGCCGCTGGGGTGGGGGCTGCACTCACCACGGTGCAGGCTGGGGTCCAGCCCCAGTGGGACCACACCAGGGGGTCACTGGTGAGAAACCAACCCTAGAGTGAAGATGATGATAACCATGAGTAAGGGTCCTGCCCTGCAGAACCACCTCAGGGGTAGGAAGATGTGCATGAGGAGGCGTTGTATGTCCTGGGACCACCCTAGTGAGGGGATGCCGGCATGGGGGGGATCAAGCCCTGTGGGACCACCCCAGTGTTGGGATACTGGCCGTAGGGGAGCATCCAGCCCCGTGAGATCACCGTGGTGGGGGGATGTCGGCCTTGGGGAGGGGTTCTGCCCGGTGGGGCCGCAGCCGCGTTTCTCCTTTAAGGCTCCCGCCGGGGCGGCCGCGGCGGGGGGGCTCCGCCGCCGGGCCCTCCGCCCCCCGGGCCCCCGGGGCCATTGTCCCGTCGCCATGGCGACCCCGCCGGCGCCTTTCACATGCAAAGCGCCCGACAAAGGCGGCGGGGCCGGGCCGGGGGCGGCTCGGGGGGCTTCAGCCCGGCCACGGCGGGGGGCCCCGGCCCGAGGATCCAGCCGGTCCGGTGCCCCGGCCCAGCCCCCCGCAGGATGCCCCGGCTCTAGCCCGGTGCCACCGTCCCCGGGTCGGGATACCCGCGGCCCGGTGCTGGTCGTGGAGGGGTCCCAGTGGGATGCAGGTGCTGGTCCCGATGGCGTCTCAGTGGGATCCCGATGTCTGCCCCGATCGGGGTCCCGGTGGAATCCCGGAGCTGGCCCCGGTGGGGTCCCGGTGAGGGCCTGCTGACTGCTCGGGCCCCGTTCCCCCGCAGGGTCCGTCTGTACGAGGGCCCTCAGCTGGTTGCCGACTCCGGTGTGATCATCGACACCACGATGCGCGGGGGCCGGCTGGGGGTCTTCTGCTTCTCCCAGGAGAACATCATCTGGTCCAACCTGCAGTACCGCTGCAACGGTGAGCAGGGCCCCCCGGGACCCCCGCACCTGCCCGGCGGCCGGCCGAGCATCCCCTCCCTCGCCCCTGCGGTGGGGTCAGTCCTGGGCCGGGGGCTTTATCGGGGCTCTCTCCCGTGGCCGGCTCCTGACGCCCCCCGCGCTGCTCCCCACAGACACGATCCCTGCCGACTTCGAGCCCTTCCGCCGGTTCCTGTTGGAGGGACGCGAGTGACCGCGCCCGGCACGGGCCTCCCCTGCCGGCGGCACCGGTGGCGCTCCGGGCTCCCGCCGCCAGCGGCACCCGGGGGCGCTCCGGGCCCCGCCGCTCCTCCCGGCCGGGCCCCGTTCCCGGCCCCCCGCGGACTTTGCACTGCCAGTACCGGGGCCCCGCAGTGCCGGGGCTCCCCCCACGCCTGCCCCGGGCGCTCCGGTCCTTGCCCCACGCCTGGCCATAAAGTTTTGAGTGTTTTCTAGCCTGCGCGCCAGGTCCCTGGGGGTTCCCGCTGCCCCGAGAGGGCCGTGGGTTCCCCTCCCCGTGCTCTCGGCTCCGTCCCGCGCCGTCCTCCCGGTGGTCGCGGCGTTGGGTCAGCGCCCGGCCGATCCCCCCGGCGCAGGCCGCGGCGGCGGGAGGCCGGGACGAGTGCAATATTGGTGGGCGAGAGCACAACACTGCACCGCATCCCGGCCCTCCCGCCGCCCCGGAGGGAGTGGAGCCGCCGCCGCCGCCCGGGCCGCTCCGTGGGAACTGCGCGGCGCGCACCGCGGCTCGGCGGCAGGGACCGGTCGCCACGGCGACGGCTGTCCCGGCAACGCGGCGGAATGTGCCCCCACCCCGCCCGCCCCGGAGCGCGGCCCCGGCACCGGCCCGGCCCCCCCGCCCCGCGGCGGCGGCGGCGACAATGGGCGCGGCGGCACCGGGCCCCTCTTAAAAGGGCAACGCGAGGTTGCCCTCCGGTGTTGGGGCCGGGATCGGAGCCGGTGCCTGCGCAGCTGGCTCTCCCCGGGAGTACCGGGACAGGTGAAATCACCGCTTGGTACCGAGTGCCTCCTCCCGCGTTCCCGAGCTGCGAGGGGCGACCGCGGTTCCCGCTCCTGTTCCGGTCCTTCTGCTCTTTCTCCTGTCCCGGTCCAGTACGGTTCCCGATTCCATTTCCGCTGCGGTCCCGCTCCGCTTCTGCTCCGTCTCCTGCTGCCTCAACTAGTCCCTCTCCCGCTCCAGTTTCGCTCCGGTATCGGTCTCACTCCCGCTCTGGATTACTGCAGTCGGCTCCCGGTTCCGGTCCCGGTTTCTTTCCAGTAGCGGTTCCGCTCTCACTCCAGTCCTAATCCCGCTCTCGGTCTCACTCCCGTAGAGGTCCAGTCCTAATCCCCTCCCGCTCCGGTCTCACTCCAGTCGCGGTCCCGGTGCCGGTGCCGGTCCCGTCCGGCGGTGCCGGTGCGCGGCGCGAGCGTCGTGGCGAGCCGCGCCCGCCAGGGGGCGCTGCAGGTTCAGGGCCACCGGACCGAGCCGGGACCCACCGGGCACGGACAGGCTGGACACGGGGGATCCACTGGGCATGGACAGGCTGGACACGGGGGATCCACCGGGTACGGACAGGCTGGACACGGGGGATCCAGCGGGTACGGACAGGCTGGACATGGGGAACCCACCGGGCATGGGCAGGATGGACACGGGGGATTAGCTGGGCATGGACAGACTGGACACGGGGAACCCACCAGGCACAGGTGGGATGGACATGGGGAACCCACTGGGCACGGACAGGCTGGACACGGGGGATCCACCAGGCACGGACAGGCTGGACAAGGGGGATTAGCTGGGCACGGGCAGGCTGGACACGGGGGATCCACTGGACATGGACAAGATGGACACAGGGAACCCACCGGGCACGGACAGGCCGGACACGGGGGATCCACTGGGCATGGACAGGATGGACATGGGAGATCCACCGGGCACGGACAGGCCGGACACGATCCACTGGGCATGGACAGGATGGACATGGGGGATCCACCGGGCACAGACAGGCTGGACGTGGGGAACTCACAGGGTGAATACACAGGACTCACCAGATACAGGGTGGATGCAAGGAACTCACCGGGTACGGTGGGGATGCACACACAGGATCCCCAGGGCACGGACAGGGTGGACACAGGACCCACCAGACATGGTGGGTGTGGGGACACGAGACCCCCTGGACATGGTGAGGCTGGGCACACGGAATCCTTTGGGCAGGGTGGCGATGGGCAGATAGAACCCATGAGACACCATGGGGTGTGATGGCAGTGGGCACATGGCACCCACCAGACATGGACAGGGTGGGCTGATGGCCCCTGCTGCCTGGGCTGGTGTGTGAGAGCAGTTGCTGGGACCCCCTCCTGCCCCTCAGCCCCCCCACACAGTGTGGGTGTCTGCAGGAGGAAAACTGCAGCCCTCAACTCCCTGCTTTGGGGGGGGAATGCCCAGGGGAAAGCCCCCAGGGCTGAGCAGGGTCGGGGATTAGGGCATGAGCAGAGGGCGGCAGGGGTCAGCATCACTGTACGGGGAGAGCCATTCCCATGGTGAGGCCTTTTGGGAAGGACATGTTTGCTCAGAGCTGCTGCCTGCACCTCCCTGCGCCTCTGTGCACCTCCCTGCACCTCCCTGCACGTGTCCTGGCTTGCCAAGGCTGTGGCTGCTGTGGGGGTCCCATTCCACCTGCACTGAAACCCGGCCCATCCATCCCTTGTTCTCATGTCATTGCAGCACAGAGGGTCCCCCTTCTCTGCTCCCCTTCTCAGCACCACCTCAGAGCCCTCTGACGTGACTGGGGTAGCACTTTGGCTTCACATGAGGCTGGCCAGGAGCCAGTGTGGGGGACCCGACCAGGGCCTCCCCAGGAGCTGGAACCCTCACAGGAATCAGCACCCTCCTGAGAGATTTGGGCTCTCCCAGCGATCAGGACTCTCTGCAGGGCAGGGGCAGAGCGGGACCACAGTAGCTTTTGATGCCCATCCGTGCCAGGAGCACATGTCACACGCGCCCAGGCACGGGGGTGTTACCTCTGGGGTGGGGCATTGGCACCCAACGCGGCACCTGGCATCACCCGTGTGCTGAATGGGGATGGGGGTTTGTGCCTGCTGGGCACTGGGACCTGGGGGGAGGTTACTGGGACCTACTGGGATGCCGTGGGGCCCTGGGCTGTACCTGCGTAAGCGTTTCGGGGGTGTCACTGGTGTTTATTTGAATGTAGGGCGGGGCGATGACCAGACGGTAATGATTAACCCTGGGCTGAGCCAGAGGATGAGGCCCCCCCTGCACGAGGGGCTGGGGTACTCCGTGTCCCCTGTATGCACCACCCCCTATGTCCCCACCAGGTCCTGGGGCCCGTGGCTCAGCCCAGGGAGCCGGGCAGATGCTGCTGCCGCCCCTGCCCCAGGATGCCCGGCTACTGTCCCGTGCTGTGCCCCCACCCGAGGCTGGGGCCGCCCACGGCACGCAGATACTGCCAGCGGTGTCCCCCCAAGCCAGGGAAGCGTGAGGGACCCATCCTGGGGTCCTGATGCTGCGGGGCCCCGTCGGAGCGGTGGCACCCCTGTGCCAAGTGGGGCAGAACGACCCCCCTCCCTGGAGCCGGCAGCGGGGTGGGGCCTCCCCACCTGCTCCAGGTGCTCTATAAAGCTCCGGCCGCTGTGGAGCTGCCAGTTCCGGATCCCTGGCCTGAGACGAGTGCCACCAGCTAACGGGAGAGCAGCAGCAGCCGCCGAGCCCCTCGAGGCGCCGGGACCCCCCGGACAAGCCCCATGGCGTTCACTGTCCTTCTGCTGCTGCTGGTGCTGGGCACAGGTGAGGGGCTGGGGCACCTGGAGCCAGAGGGAGCCGGGCGGGGAGCCGGGCAGGCGGGGGGGAACGGGGACAGGGGGAGCGGGGTCCCTTCCAAAGTGGGGACCAGGGGACACCGGAGCCAGGGGCATCCTTGCAGCGGGGACACTTGTCACCTCTCCCGTTCTGGCTCCGGGCTGCAGCGACCCGGGGCTGGTTGTGCCCAGGAAAGCCGGTACCTGGGGGCTCAGACTGCGGCCCCTCTGCCGTGTCCGAAGGGCTCGGCCAAGAGCTGGGCTGTGCCGGGACCAGCCGGAGCAGGCTGTGCCCGGGGCTTGCGGGCTGGAATGCAGGTGTGTCCCGGTGAGCACTCGGACCCTGGGCTCTCCTCCAGTGCCGCCGGCTCCTGCAGCACCCGCTGGGAACCTGCCCGGGAGCTGCCTGTACTGGCCCACAGCCAGGCCAGGCAGGTCTGGAGGGCACGGGGACACCCCAGCCTGTCACCCACAGCGAGGGGGGCTTTATTGGGTGGCATGTCTGAGCCCCCAGCATGTCAGGGACACCTCAAAAGGGTCTGCAGGGTTGAGCATGGTGCTGGTGTCAGTGCCCAGCCAGCTCCACCTGGACCCTCAGTGGTGCCACAAGTGCCCAGCCCCGATCGTGGGGTGTTGCTGAAGGTCTCGTTAGCCTCATGGGCAGATGGAGACACTGGATGTTGGCTCCTGGGGCTTGTGGTCCTTCCCACAGTGTCCAGCTGATGAGCTGTTTTGGGTAAATAAAACCTTCCCTAACTGGGCTGCAGCCATCGACTTCAGGGGTTTCTCCAGGTACACGTGCCATGACCACCGAGACAACCATGGAGATGGAAACCACCGAAACGACCACCGTGGAGATGACCACGGAAACAACCACCACCACCTTGTCACCAAACATATTCCCCAAAAGCACAGGGGGCAGCCGACCCCGAACCTCTGTCTTCCCCTATGCCACCGTGTTCCCCAGCATAAACACCACGAACTTCCAGTTTGGCAACCGCTCCAGAGGCAATGGCACATCCAACAGCACTGTGGTGCCTGTCCCCAGCAGCCCAGCCATCCCCCATGCCAATGCCACCTCAAACAGCAGCTGGATCCCCCACAACGGCAGCTCTGCCGCTCCCACCACCATGGATGGCAGCACCAGAGGCAACAGGAGCACCAGTGCTCAGGTCTTTCCCACCCAGATAACGTCTGAGGGCAGCACGGCTCACAGGCAGACCCCCACCCAGCATGGTCCCAACCCCAGCAAAACCACAGCCCAGCTGCCTGCTGCTGTCCAGCTGCTCGTCCGTGTCCCGCTGTCCTTCCGCATCATCAACAGGAGCTTCAATGAGAGCCTGCGTGACCCAGCGTCAGAGGAGTACAGGAGCCTGAGCCACACCGTCCTGGCCATGGTGAGTCCCAGCCC